TGAGGGTTGGCTTCTAGAAGCCTCTCCAGCAGGCAACGGATTCCCGAGACGTGCATCAAAGCACAAAGGCTCATCCAAAGGTAAGGGCTGGCCAGCATGAAGCGGCATCACATCCTCCGAGTCAGGCATCGTAGAAACGCCATCAGCGGATTGAAGAGGCGCATAGAAGTCAGGAAAGTATGAAGCAATGGATGGTGATAGCGCGATAATGTAGAGGAGGCCCCGTAAGACATCGTACCTGGAGCCGACTCGACTCGAACGGCTGGGGGGTTTTCACCAGCGGAGTAGTTGTCATAATAGCTCATGCGGGCACCGATGTTGGGGTCTGGAAACATGGTGCCCACGTGTGGATCGATGGGGGTGAGTTGAAGGGACGGAGCATTAGAAAATATCATCGATGAGTCATTGCCAGTGTCTGTCACGGTAGCGTAGCTATCACGATAGCTTGCGTGGGCATCGAGGATGTTGGGGTAAGGAAGTGTATCAACCGGAGACGATGCTAATAGCCCTTCACTAGAACTAGGATCTCCGGGGGGGTACCGTAGCCACTGTGTACAGATGGGTCGTTGAGTGATGCTGGCAGCTGGTTGCCAGAGCTAGTGGGGAAAAGATCATGACGACCGCTCGCCTGTGCATCAAGCAAGAATGGATTATGATTTGGGGTGGAGAAGGACTCCGTTACCGGCTCCTGCTCAGACTGGTCGTGGAGGTAGTGATAACGATAATCCGCCGCATGGTCCGCATCCAAATCCTGATCATGGCGGCCTCTTTGAGTAAAAGATATTCACTTTAGTAGAAGTTGACTGCCTACCGTGACCAAGCTCAAGTTGGGGTGTTGAACGGCAACAGGAATACCAGGCCCGGAAAAGGATGCTAACAGCGCCGGCTGCTGCGCTGATGGTCAGAATCACGGTAGCCTGGACCCCTGCGCATCGATGAAGTTGTATTGTGGATCGCCCACACCAGAGTACATCGCTGGCCAGCCGCAGACGAGTACTATAGCCTGCAGGACCCAAGAGTAGTCCTTTAAGCTATTGCACCATCATAATCTCAACCAAACTTGAACCCTCGAGTCAGTGGGTATATGATAGGAAACAGTTCTAATGAAACGCTTCGACTGATTGTGACCGTACTGCCGAACAACGAGGCGTGGGCACTAAAAAATACATCCCTAATTTGCTTTTAGTATCGGTACAATTTGAAGGCACTGTTTTGATTGACATTGAAATAGGGGTTTCCATTTCTAACTACTCATCCGCATGTTGTTAATTCAAATAATAAGGCAGAAATTTCAATTGGACGGGTCTGAATTAGTCGGCACACCTTCGTGTCGTGTGATTCTTCAATGATATGACTCATATATGGGTTCCCTCCATACTTACTAATTAGGCTCGGCCGAACTTGAATCGACTCCCTGAGGAAGGTGGAAGGTTCTAGAATTGAGTTTTACGTGCAGCGGGTTCAGCGAGTATGTGCACCTTGTGATACAGTAAGATAAAAATCAACTTCAATGAGGTGATGAGACCATTACACTAGACTTTTCCACAAGTTCTCGAAGTGACTCCGAATTGAACCAAGGCTCACTAACTGCAGCCAAAATCCGGCCCAAAAAGTCCTCTCTTTGATCGATAAACAACTCATCATGTCATGTTCGACATACCCTAGGCTACTACTACTACAAGGAGCACAACATGTGGCTCAGTTCTGAGCCATATCAACTAATTATCTGCAAACGTACCTGATTTCTTCCTGCATGTGGTAACTCCCGTTCCCTCAATGCTCACATATGTTTCCTTTCTTCCCATCCGACTCGGATAGGACTTTGAGCAGTGGCTTCCAGGCTGACTTGTCCGATCTCCCAATACTGCCCCCTCGTTCCTTTCAACTTTGGCGTTTCACCATGACGGCCCCTGTGTCCCTCTGAGTCAGATATACGCCTACCTGTTCGTGCTTTTTGTCATTCTTCAGTGGACTTCTTTCAAAATATTGTTAGATGGTGTTCTTCCTTCCAAAGCTCCTGATATTCTCAGGCTAGCCATCCTGTGACAGGCTACGATTATGAAGCTCCCGCGCAGCGGCAGCCTGTCAAGTGCGCGAGGACCAATTTCATGCATGGAAACTTCCCTTATTTGTTACTGGGTGCCGTGTCTGATACTATCATCATCCCGGGACTTTGTTTGAATTAAAGTGTGAAAGCTGAGTGTTCTCCCCGTCATACTTCTTATGACTATGATTGTTTATTTAGTATCTACCGCAGACGGTCCATGGTGCTCCATGTTTTCACAAAATACCTTTGTGTTATCTGTCTTTTGCACGATGTAAGCTACCTAAATCTGACTTCCCTGTGCTAAGTGTTGTCCGCGCTAAAAAGTACTGGACCCTCCGAGTTAAGCTGCTTCTTGTCGTGGTGAGCATGTCGGCCGGCCGAGGTTGAACGAGGCCGAGCTGATATGCTCACCATGCACCTGTTATAATTAGTGTCCCGTAAGATGCTGAATGATAGTGAACACGATGTTATGTTCGTTCCGTTTTGACCTGTACTAGAGACTGTATGTAGGTCTGTAACTCATGATGCATATGTATCGGGGACTGGCGCAGCCGAGCGCCGTTACGATTTAGTAAATGGTCAAACAAGACCGTCATGTGATGATAGATAGCTGATGCTTGTGATTAGGTGCCATAGTATGTCATTCAAATTTCTCCACCAGTTTACCGTGACTGATTCTGAAGCATGTCACATGAGTAACTACGAACATTGTTTTTGCAACTGAAATTCATCGCTAGGCCTCCTTCAATAAATCAGGCCTACTACTGTAACTCTGACAAGTGTGCTATAGGTCGCCGAATAATTAAATAACTACTTGTCCTCAATCACTGCAGGTGTTTTCTTTTGTTGTTCTTCACCATACTTGACTACGTCGAGAACTGTCTGCCAATCAGTACCTGTTTTCTCCCGCCGGATGCGCTTGATGGTAGCAACTGGAGTACGATCCAGACTCAGAGATAGTAATACGTTCTCCTTGTCACTGTAATGTGGCAGCTTCAAGTTGGTGTCGACCGTCTTGTCGATCTTCCTCTTGCGAATCTGACAGGTAGTACCAGCCGCTGTGCAAGAAGCTTCAAGTTGAGCCCGTACTATGACTTTGCAACTTTCCACTGAGTCAGCTTTCTGATTTCATCCGAATCAGCACAACGAAATCCACAGCTGCTACTATTATGCACCTACCGTTTTCTGAGTCAGACTCGGAGTCGTGACGGCGGCTGCAGCTCTTTCATTTTCCTTGACTCCCAAACTTGAATGAGAAGCGAGAATAACTTCAATAGTCTCCTGCGACTGCCAGTAAGAGATGTACTACATGAGTATGAGTCACCGCAAGCGAAGGAACCGCCGGGGAGTGGCCACTTACCTCTTCTTCTTCTTCTTCTTCTTCTTGATACTCAGGTTCCAGGGGCTCCCAGAACGACCCGTCCGAGTCTATACCAGGACCAGTACTACTAGTAGTACCATTAGTGGGACCAAGCACTACCACGGATCGAGTTGAACATGCACGATTGTATCCCGATTGACCCAAGAGGGTGTGGTCACAGTTGCTGCCGCATCCGAGTCACTGTGACTGGCAGGATGCTCACGGTCATATTTAAACATGTTACCGTTCAAGTCAGCAGTTGTCAGGAAGTTGGGTTGAGGTTAACGTTGACCGGTGAGCTCTTATAGTTGAGCGTATGACTGGCCCAGGTGACGTACAATACAGAACATGACAGCATGTAGTAGGGTCCTGCCAATGGATTCAACGCATAGGCCGCCCAATAGTGCTATGTACATATGCGCAGCCAGGCTCACTGGTAGGTGCTTAGTATAGGGCTCCACTTCAGGAAGATCCATTCGGCAAATATCCAACCAGGCCTTTTTTGGAAACACAGATTGATTCCCATTTTTGGTATGTGCTGAGATATCCGATCATATCCGCCTTGTCAAAATAAGTTTGCTCCATTTCCTCCTCAGGCAACTGGCTGTCGAATTTTCGAGCCAGCAGCCCATAATTGTCCGAGGAGTCTGACAAGCACTGGCAGGTGGGAGTCAGTGTAAATGCCAATAATCGAAGAATCAAGTCATTCAGCAAAGTTCCTTTCAAACTCCGATGACATATTTACCAATCGCTTACAGACCGAAAATCCAAATACTTTATCCAAGTACCCACCGTGACCTTTGAACATGTTGCGATTCAGTTTGACTCCATCCTGTAGTGATGACCTTGACGCTAAGCCTTCATCCTGCTTCAGCCAGTGGCATGGATGATGACTTGGAGCTCTATGTTCGGCGCTTTGCATCCACACCTCAACAAGTTGAGCCCCCCCAGCGGCTTGGCCATATTTCTGGCAATTCCATCGAGAGCGCTCCCAGCTGCTATTCAAGCTCTCCTCCGAGCTCTCCATCGTCAGCTATATTAGCATCAGGTATTGATGGCTCATAATGTGTCAGTGGTGGATTAACTCATAAAAATGACAGTAGCTACTAGCAGCACCAATGTGTCAGATGCGGAGGACGATAACTTCCCGCTGACACCTCAATCCAAGCAATCCTGCGGCGCATGTTATGTCGCCAACCCTTCTGCTGGGATTGCATCGCCGACTCCAAATCGTTCTCCCAAGATTGACAACACCGACGCTTTCTCTCTTTATCCCACGATCACCTCTTTCGAAGAGCAACATTATTTTGACAGATTTTTAGGCAGACCTGTCAATGACGAGCATTCACTGGAGAAAGTGAGCCAGAGGGTAAGCCATGTTTTGAACCATATACCACAGATCTCAATATGTGTCATTTATAGGTTCAGGATATCTACTCTAGCCATATAGGGCGGCTCAGCGCGGACTCTGTTCGCTGTGCTATTCATTACAAGGAGGCTGTTCGGGAACGCAAACGCATGCGCTGGTACACTGCACGCTGGGAGGTTGCGGAGGTCCAAAGGCTGCACACCCTCCTTCTCTCCTTGCGCGATGAATCAGAAACAGAGTTTATCATGGCAGATCGAGAATCGCGTTGGCTATTGGACATTCTTATTCAACAACAGACACTGCCTGCTACCACTGCACAGGCGGAATATGCTGCTGCAACCTGCGACAACGACAAGAAATCTTTCCTTCTGGCTGACGCTGAACTCGCCATACTCGCCGATCGTTCTACTGAGCAGTAGCAGCTTGTGAATAATTAGTGCGTACGGCTTTTCCTGATGATGATCCCTAGTCACCATATTTCCAGATATTATTACCCTTTATGCAAGTTATATTGTGTTCACGCAGGAATCGTGGTGGATAAACTGGTGGCTTGTTCTTGATACCATGTACGATTATGCCTCGTCTACCTCGCAAGTTTGAAATAGTATTAGCTAGTACTGTTCTTTGTCTTTCAAGAAATACAACTCTGTATGCTCGATTTCGGATTGGTTCGTCGAGTACCCTGTAGTACATAGCGACTGGTGTTCTTGTCCAGTCACGGTCGTACGTGCCAATGATAACACTAGTAGTAAACGACCGTGACTAGTAACCGTATTACAGGTACCTAGTGACACCCAACGAAAGTAAGTAGTACTACTATAGCTTCGCCGAAGCTTGTAGTTAGAACTTAGTGCTAACTTCTCGCAGACATTCATGTTAGTACTGAAGGTGTTCCACTGCTAGCCAACCGTTTGCCATGCGCCCCAAAATACTTTCAAGTTGTATCGGACTTTTCTTGCTTTTTTTGATGGTATCTTGCAATGCTCTGGGATGCTCCTGGGAGAGGCCAACAGACAGTCGCGGACTCGGCAGGCATCGCGAAACTTGTCGTTTCTATAAGAGAGCGAGCAGCCTTGCGAGTCAGAGGAGACAAGACCGCGCGAAGGCAGGCGCTTCTTTCCAACAGTCGTTTGGTTCCAACAGCCTCTTCAACAAGCAGCTCCTCAGTGAGTCGCGATAGTTAACTGCCCACTTCGAAAGCTGCTAAAGTTATACTAAACATCAGAGAATCTTGACCACCCGGCATGCGAGGGACCGTCCAAGTCTGAAACCAATTGCACCTCGCAGCCTCCTTGGGGCAATCTCTATGGCTCACGGGTCATGTACCAGTGCCTCCTGTCTCGCTGACTCACAACGCACCCTCGACTCGGAGCAGCGACAAATTGATGTAGAGATGGCAAGTGTTTCTGGAACCGTGTTGGAGTATGATCACGAGGATTCAGGTTCGTATCCCTGTGGGCAATCGTCTTCCATATATTTTTAACGAATTACTCGAACCTTTCAGAGGAATTCGCACTCCCAATGAGACGCATTCCTAGATCTCTTGATTGTATTGAATCTTCGCACGACGACCTGAATCATTCCGATAGTGCTGGCATCCCATCAGTCCGAACGGCTTCACTACCTGCCCAATCTAGAATCCGACGCGTTCTCTTAACGCTAAGGGACACCCTCCAGACCGGCTTCAATTTATTTGGACTATGTCGGCTCTACCCTCGCCGTCCTTCTTTTGAGCCAGACCAATTCATTCCATCTTCGCTACTGGCAAGAACGTCTCCCACAGCTATCCATGAAGCTGATCCGAGCCCTTTGTCAAATGTCTTCGCGCCGCCTTACCCCTTCGCTAACATGACTATCTATCGACTTATCTCCTGGATGAATTCAGGCAGTAGCAGGTTATCCGAAACCAAGGTCTCGCGTCTGGTCAGAGATGTCCTACTGGCAGAAGATTTTGATCGTAAGGACCTCGAGAACTTCTCAGTGAAGCGAAGCTTGCGAGAACTAGACAAGCATGAGAGTGGAAGTAGAGTTAATTTTCCAGACGACTGGATTCAGACTAGTGTCACTATCGACATTCCAACGAAATCAAAGGAGGATGGGTCTCAGCCTTATACCATCCCCGGATTTCATTATCGCCCTCTTGTTGAAGTCATACGCGCGGCGTTCGCGGATGCACAGGCGGGAGCATTCCATCTCTTCCCTTTCCAACGGTTATGGAAAGATCCTTTAGATGACCATCAAGAACGAATTTATGACGAGCTGTACACTTCAGATGCCTGGCTGGACGCTCAGGACAGTATTCAGAGGATACCAAAAGAACCTGGGCGTTCACTCGAGCGCGTCATCGCGGGTCTCATGTTTTTTTCCGACGCTACTCATTTGGCAAACTTTGGGACTGCGAAGGCCTGGCCGCTCTACCTATATTTTGGTAATCTCACAAAATATGCACGATCATCACCCTTATCAGGGGCATGCCACCTAGTGGGGTTTTTACCCTCAGTGAGTACTCTCCGACATGTCTACAGCGTTGTTGACAACGCAATGGCAGCTTCCCGACGGTGTTAAAGATGTACTCAGTAGCTTATCTCGCATATCGAAGACGGGCATGACGTCCCTTCATGCCCACTGTCGTAGAGAACTGTTTCATTCCTGCTGGGAGATCCTATTGGATGAAGATTTTCTTTCTGCGTACCACCACGGTATCGTTCTGAAATGTGCTGACAGAGTGGTGTGGAGGGTGTTTCCCCGCATCTTCACGTACTCCTGCTGATTATCCTGAAAAGTACGTCCATCTATGGTCTAAAGAACGTCGAATCACTCATAACTCTACAGGGTTTTAATCGCAACTATCAAGGACATGGGCTTATGCCCGTGTCCTCGCTGCTTGACACCCAAAATCTCGTTTAGTTTTCTCGGACTCGCGAGGGACATGAGAAGTCGTATAAGCAACCTTCAAGTTTATGTCATGGCCAATGTTGTCAGGGCTCGTGAATTTATCTACGCTGGGGGAAACACGGTAGACTGGCGCAAAGGTAGAACATACCCTTGGAGAGGGCTCGTGGATACCTACTCTGGTAAGCGACTTTTTCCCATTTCGTGATCGGCTCTCACCGTCTACTTGCAGAACCAATTTGTCGAAAAACTTGGACCTCTAGGCCTCGACCCATTCTGCATGCTCGTCGTCGACTTCATGCACGAGTGCGAACTGGGTACCTGGAAGGCCCTGTTCACACATCTTATAAGGCTTCTTTATGCCCTTCCTCGGGGTAGTGAGCTTGTTGCAGCTCTGGACAGCAGGTATGAGGAAATCTTAAGGGGTGCCGTTGCTCGCTAACAGGTTCACACACCTCCATCCTACTGTAGGTTTCGACAGGTCCCAACCTTTGGTCTTGGCGTAATTCGCAGATTTTCAAATAATACATCTGAGATGAAAAGACTGGCAGCTCGTGATTTTGAAGATATCTTACAGGTCGTGTTACCCGTTTTTTGCGTTCGACCCGCTGACAGTCCGTCATTAGTGTGCCATTCCGGTCTTCGAAGGGTTGTTCCCCGATGACCATGATGCAATGGTGCAGTCTCTGTTGTATCAATTTGCCGAATGGCATGCGCTTGCCAAGCTCAGGCTTCACTCTGAGTCTACGGTCAATTTTCTCGAAGAAACGTTTAAGAAGCTGTCGCAGAAGTTACGGAAGTTTCGAGCCTTTACCTGTGCCGCTTTCAACACCATCGAATTACCTAAGGAGAAAGCGGCTCGCCAACGCAAAGCTGCTCAACGCTCAGAAGCAAATGGTTCTCTTCCACAATCCAGTGGGCCGAGGATGAAGAAGTTCAATTTAGGTACATATAAGTTTCATGCGATGGGGGACTATGTGAGAACCATCAAGCTCTTTGGGACCACAGATTCCTTCACTACTCAGATTGTATGTACTGTCTACTTTCATATCGCGCTCCTGACATTAGGTTTGACCAGGGAGAGCTCGCTCACAGAGCGTTAAAGGCATTTTATCCGCTCACTAACAAGTTAGACACTCCAGCACAGTTAGCTAAGCACGAGCGTAGGCGCCGTGTACTACGGCGGGTGGGAGAGGTTGGTGATTCACCCTCTTCTAGCAGTCAACAACCAGCCCATGCTCCCTCATTGGCAGTCCTATGACAACTTGAAGCATCACCATATTGCAACTACTCAGAACAACCCGGTCAACCTATTTTCGTTTCTCCAATCACACGATGGTGATCCGGCCCTTCAGGTGGGAGTATCATTGCATTTTGGAGGCACCTGAGAATTTACCCGTTATCAGAATTTTATACCAAAATTAAGGGACCATATCCTATATAGGCTGCAGGAGCTGGAGATTGGTTATTGCGATCACATTTTCACGGACGAGGAACGGAACTCGATCATCATCCCAAACAACACGATCTACTCGGTTCAAACAATGCAAGTACACTACACGACTTATGACTTACGGCGCGAGCACGACACCATTAATCCTAGGACCCATGGGGACGTTATGGTGCTTTCCGGGGAGACAAGGCCTAGTCACCCCTACTGGTATGCTCGCGTATTGGGCATATACCACATGGTTGTATGGATCAACAATGGGGGCCAACCGGTGAAGCGACACCTCGAAGTTCTATGGGTTAGATGGCTGGCAGGCTTGCGAAGCTATAAGTCTGGGATGAAACATGCTCGTCTTCCAAAGATAGCATTTGTGGAGGAGTCGGATCGGGATGCTTTCGGGTTCCTCGATCCAGGACAGGTAATCCGAGGGGCACATTTAATTCCTGCGTTCGCCTCAGGACGTGGTGTAAGCTCGCTTCGTCACGGAGAGTCGTTGGCACGCCCTGGGGGGGAGCTGGATGATTGGGAGGAGTATTACGTTGGGATGTAAGTCCAAGTACCTCTTTCTGTGCGCATCAAGCCTCAAGCTTCGAGTTAGATTCGTGGATCGAGATATGTACATGCGCTATACTCACTTTGGCGTTGGGCATTCCGCCATGCTGCGGAAGATCATTAAAGATTGCCTCGGCTCTCATTTGGTGCACAGCGGTGTTGTAAACGGCAGGTAACCAGGGGGATGCTGACGGTGAAGAGACCTGCGAAGGTGAGGGTCATGACGAATGCAACGATGGACAAGAGGGCAGCGATGACTCCGACGAGGACGAGGAAGAATATGACTTGGATGATGAGCTTAGCGACGGGGAGCTGGTCGAGGGAGTCGGGGAGGACAACGGTGAAGAGTATGGAGATGAACTTGACGACGAGCTTTATGGTATCTCCTTCTAGTCTCAAATCTACCCCTACTATGTGCCATTTACTACATTATCAGCCATTTGCTTGAAGTTCAAATTCTTGCACTCAACCATTACAAGTTGTCGCGTGGACTAGTATGTTTTCATCTCACCTCTTCTCTCGTCGTTGCTAGTAGTATTGCCGCCTCCGCCAAGACGTGACCATCCGAAACGAAAGGCAATCATGGCCCGTGCTACAGCCAATGTCGCTGTGCATGACGTCGCTAAAGCGTGGGAACGAGAATATGTTAGAGCCCCATGCATGCCTCCGTCTGATCAAGTGACTGGGGAGTCGCCCTTTAGTACCACGGTCGCCTGCATATATGAAAGGCCATATATATCATATCCCACAAACAACGATTGGACTGGTGGAAGACTTGCAAGTCGATCGCCGCATGGAGCAAAATCTTTGATTCAAGCCCTGAAGGCACTGAGGGAGGCCTCGAAGGCAGAAGAGGCTCACAGAGATGGCCGCAAGGCAATTTGCAAAGCACAATGGCACAACTTCGACGTCTATACACAACGACTCTGTGCCAGGCAGCATGTCTCGCTCTGCACTCACCAGCATTTCTGACGCTAACAGAACGGATGACTTGACATCCATGGCCAAGCTCCAGATCGCCACCAATAGGTGTGTATCATGTCTATTGTGATGGAGGATGCTGATCCGGCTATAGGAATGCAGCGGGAGTGCTTGTTTCAGATGCTGAAAGGCAGGGATATTAAAATCGATTCCTATACGTTATCATTCCATGGTCGTCTGCTCATCATCGAGGGTGCAGAAACCTCCATCAACTACGGACAGCGCTATGGTCTATTGGGTGAGAATGAGTCTGGAAAGGTACGCTTTCATATTCCTTCTGTATCTTATCATCTTACACTTTCCCCCTAGTCTATCTTCCTCCTCTCCAGCGCAGAGCGCGACATTGAAATTCCACCAGATTGACATCTACCTCCTCCGTGGTGAGACAGAACCGTCCGATGTCAACGCCGTTGACTTCATCGTGGCCTCCGCTCGCGAAAAGGTCGCTAAACTCGAAAAGCGCATCGAAGATCTCAGCATCGCAGATGATGTTGATGACGCCGCCCTGGAGGCGTCTTGGCTTCAGACAGGCTTCCATCCTACAAAAGATAGGAGTGGTGGTTGGCGTATGCGCGTGCACTCTTTGTTAAGCCACATCTGCTCCTCCTTGTTGAGCCGACGAACCATTTGGATCTCGGCGCTGTCGTTTGGCTTGAAGAATATTTATCAACATACAACGACGTTCTCGTTATCACCTCGCATCCGCAAGGTTTCATCATCTCGGTCTGTGCTAACGTCATGGATTTGACGACGAAGAACAAGCTCGTCTACTACGCTGGTAACCACACTACCTGTGTGCGCACTAAGCAGAAGAACGAGGTGAATCCGACCGTCAGGAGGAAGAAACAACCCACATCAAAAGTACGTCTATCTCTTTCTCGCAGTTTGCCATTGACTGAACGCTATCAGATTCATCGCTTCCGCTGGTACATATGCCAACCTCGTCAAGCAGGCCAAGTCGAAACAAAACATCACCGACAAGATGGAGGCGGCGGGACTCGTCGAAAAAGTCGAGACACCTCGACCGCTGCGCTTCCACTTCGAGGGTATTCGCAAACTCCCTCCTATCATTGCATTCGACGAAGTCGCCTTCTCATACTCGGGCAATCCTGAAGATTACTTGTACAAATAATTGTATGGAGTACGTCTTTTCTTTCTACCTTGGGTCTTGTCCAGCTCACTCATATGTAGTATGGACTCTTGTGTAGCCATCCTCGGTGCAAACGGTGCCGGAAAATCGACACTTCTCAACCTCATCACTGATGTCCTACAACCCTCTCAAGGCACTACTTCCAAGCATACTGCGCTCAAACTCGCCAAGTACAGCCAACACAGCGCGGACCAGATATCACACGACAAGAGTCCGATTGAGTCCCTCCTCTTGCTTTTCCACGAGAAGCACCCTGAGAAGGACGTTGTGGCATGAAGGCAGCAACTATGACTTCATAAAATTTGTATGTGGGGAGTATTTGGTGTTACATTGTATCGTGCATGTGTCCAGTATGGGCAGCCACTTAACTTCATTCTCGGCCTCTTGGAACTTCCATCCCTCTTCATGCGTACGGTCTGATACTCGTAAGCCCGTTCAGAATTTTATAGTTTTAACCCGGCTTACCTAGAAGCGCTAACGCGCACCTCTGAGTCCCAGGAGACACTCCAATTCCTCTATCTCCATCTCGAAAATCCGGCACTCTCTCGCAATCCACAGCACCATCATCGCGCGCATTTCGTCTGACCAGACCGGAGGCAGCGGATAGGGTTGAAATGGTAAGTTGGGGTTGTAGAGTTGTTGACGCACGCAGTTTCGCGCGGCTGCCCATGTAATATACATCAGTTCCTTCAACAAGGTCAGTGTTGTGGCTCACTGATGAATGCGTCACTCACCACCTGTCTTCCAGACATCGTGAACGTCACATTCCGAGGCCTCGGTGCGAGTTGCAAAAGGTGTCCGGGAATCTGTCGAATATCGGTGAGTAGCGAATGGTTTTTTTTAATCCTCGACGTACCTGGTGATCTCAGTCTTGGTCTTGGTCTCCATTTTGGTTTCTGACTCCTCCGTCAACATCAGAATTGTTATTCATACTGGTACTAGAGTAGTAGATATGAAAATCCAATTCAGATTGATCACCCTCGTCGAACGTTGAGTTAGCGTGTTTGAGAGAAACGTCCCAATTTGGGCAAAATATGTCTCCGGCATTTACCGGAATAGTATATGTCACGTTGGATCAACAAAACTTGAGCGTCCATGGTATAACGGTTGAATGTCACGTATCCCGAATTTATTTACCAGGAAGCTCCTGAGTTCAATTCCTCTGACAGTTATTATTCGGTCTGTTTCTTTTTGTGTCTCTAACGCAGAACATTTACTACTCAAATGCCAAAACTATTGGAGGAATGCATTTAGTCGCCAACACCGACACCTGGTTGAAAGGCGTAGTCTATCGAAAAGTCATAAATAACCTTATAGTTGAAACATAACGAAAGAAAAATAAGTACACTCAGAAAACGTATGCACTTCACGCTACTGGCCCTTACAGGCAGCAATGGTACATTGTCACAACATTGTCACAAACTCGCGTGTTAATCTAGATTTGGTGACCAATGTGAACACCACGTTCCACGAGAAAGTCTTGTATAGACATATAATTCACATCATAAATATTGAAGAATGAGAATGTTCAAAAAGGGAGACACACTTACGCTACCATCTCTTGCCGGCCGTCACGCTACGACGTCACAACCTTATCATCAACTCCTCGCGATAATCTAGATTTGCAGACATTAATGGCTATGTACCAACAGCTCAGATTTATCGCAGTAGACATAGCAATATTTACCTAGAGCAAAATTGTATCCTTCTATAGTTCTCACGGCTACAATATCACGGACTCATGAATTCACTGATGGCCATGTCGTCTGAAACTCCTTTCAAAATTGACATCCCAACGAGAAACTGACCGCCCTCCGCGCTAAACTTGAACTCGCTACTTTCCCGGATGAACTGGAGGACGCGGGGTGGAAGTATGGTTCACCTCTGGCGGATATGAAGCGGCTCACAAAGAGGTGGAGAACCGAGTATGACTGGCGCAAGCATGAAAAGGAAATCAACGAGGAGCTGCCAATGTTTACCCGCGATATTGACGTGGATGGTTTCGGCGCGCTGAACATTCACTATGTTCACAAGAAGAGCAAATCTGTTGACGCCATTCCGCTGTTGTTTTGCCATGGATGTAGGTCGTCTCGTATGCATGCAGACCTAACGTCTTTTGACCTTAACTAGGGCCTGGAAGCTTCTTGGAAGTCGGGAAGATTTTGCCCCTCCTGACTGCATCGGCCCCTGAACATCCTAGCTTTCATGTTGTGGCGCTCAGTTTACCAGGTTTTGGCTTTTCGGAGGCTCCCCGTAAACAAGGCTTTGGTATGAATCAATATGTCGAGGCGATTACTATTCATCACACGTACTAAGTTCTCCACATGTTGACTGGTGTACCTAGGTAGCTCACAAACTCATGATCGCTCTCGGGTATAACGAGTATGGTACTGTCGCCAAGTTACAGCTATTATCGCCTCGATGAATTAACTGAATTTGTTGATTTCTCTTACAGTTACTCAGGGAGGTGACTGGGGTGGCCTCGTGAGTAATGTTTTACAAGCAGATATGACTTATCGTTGATGTATCCTCAGATCACTAGGAAAATGGCTTCTGTGTATGGTGGGAGGCATCACAAGGCATGGCATACCTAACGTTCCATTGCATGTCATTTTCTCGGTCAGCACATACCTTGACTCATTCTCGTCTATGTAGTGCTGAACCACCGAGCTGGAAATCGCCCTTTATCTTTCTTGTCTTTCTTGCTAACCCCGTGGACTATAGAGGAAAAGGCAGGCATCGAGCGCACCAAATGGTTCCGCACCAACGGATATGGCTACTTCACACAACAGAGTACCCAACCACAGACACTCGGTTACAGCCTCGCTGATAGCCCTGTTGGCACTGCTTGGTTGGATCTATGAGAAGCTGGTCCTTTGGACCGACAATTACAACTGGTCTGATGATGAAGGTAGCAGCGGTCTTGCTTTTCCGAATATCGCTCACCTGTTTTAAATAGTGCTGATGTGGATATCATTGTACTGGTTCTCTCGCGCCGGTCCCGCTGCCTCCCTCCGCATTTACTTTGAATTGCGTGGCGATTGTGAGGATTTAGGTCGAAGCCCCACTATTCCTATGGGAGCATCGTTTTTCCCGAAGGAGCTCATAGTTTTACCCGCAGCGTATGTTTCTGCCAATCAACTTTATTGAAACTAATATGAGTATGTAGGTGGCTGCGCATGTCGAACAACGTTGTTTTCGAGTTCCATCATAAGACAGGAGGCCATTTTGCTGCCACTGAACGGCCGGAAGAGCTTGTTCGGGATGTGCAGAAGATGTTCGCGAAAGGGAGCCCTGCGTTCGCAATTGTCCCTGGAAGAACTGGATATGCTTGAACAAACTTCATTCCTATATGTATCCTCACGTTCAACAATGGCTCGGAGTGAATATCAGGTGTCTGCCTTTGATGTCTGAAACAACAGGAAGTTTGCGAAGGCTTAACGGAATCCACCGAGTCAACAGTGCGGGTGGTGTAAATTATTGTAGAACAAATATACGAGCCTGAGTATTGTGTGAGAATTGTTTTGCCTTCTGTTGGTTGTATGGTGGGTATGGTCCATACTTAGTGAGGTTACTAGCTGTCTCTAATCAGCCAGTATGATGATGGCAAGTGCTTCGAGGGACGTTATAGCATGCGGAGAATCTGTCATGGTAGTGCAAACGTGTTTCAACGACGTCTGCGGCTCTGCGCCGAGCACAATTGAAAGACTGTCCCGTGGGCTTGCGTGGTGAACCAGCCCGATTTCAAGCTCCGCTATGTCTGTCGCTTGTTTGCATCTTATCTCGGAAGCTTTTGCAAAAACTTTCACTGACTTGAAATAAGATCGTTATTGACTAGACTGGAGGATCTGTGGAGGAGCGTTTTCACACATATGATATCGCTGATAACAACGGGCCTGGTTCAGAAGCCAGGAACTTGACAAAGATGTGAAAATCACGTACTCACCGCAGGGGCAAGCCTTTGACCCTGCATATAGCTCCGCACGCGAACCCGTCGAGGTGACGAGAACAAGGATCGATTTATCAAAGTGCCTGGCCAAGCTAAACCACCCCATAATAAGGAGAATCGATGTCGAAGCCCAGACACTCCTCGTGATCATTCGCGCATCCGTAACAAGCAATGGGACTTCGTACACTGCTGAAATGTTGAATTTAACGTGTTAGAACCCGTAAGCACTTGCAAATGCTTCGCTCGGGCTAGACCATCAACTGCACGAACAGGACCCATGGCCGCCATCCAGATGCCAATCCCACTACAATATGAGAAGTACACCATTCTTACTTCGCCTCACCACCGCCACATACTATGATTCCCCCTCGATCCTGCGGACCTAGTGTCCAGACGGCGGATCGGTTGTCAAGCATCATAAAAGCAGTAAAGCTTGGTGTCTCTATTGGGCGTCCAGTTTTCAGACTTCCATTCTCGGAGGGATTGCCATTGAACAAAAGCCTCAGGGAGTCTGCCGCTTAGTGCGCAACTGCCCGAATATCCCTTTTGGAGGACTTCTTTTCAATGGCCTAGAGGTATGCCAAGTAGCTCCAGCTGTGCGCGGATGAGACAGTAATGCTTGCTATGTCTGAAAAAAATTTCTACCGCTATGGAAAATTTTGCACATATTCTCTCTTGCAGCAACAGGATCTAGCATCCGCTCCATTGGAGGCCCTGCCTTCACCCATCCACTCATTGATGGCATCAACGAGGGTACTTTCGGTCAACGTCGGTCACCCACCTCCCTGGCTCAAACATCGAAGGCGGAATCCACTTCCTGTTCCTGCCCAAAATCCTGTGCGATGCAAATGCATGCCTCGATTGTGCGATTCGTGCCTTCCACTCACGCATCACTGTTCGATGTCTCCATCGACGATTTAAATGCCTGACATTCTTGAAAAAGTCGACAGGTGATTATAGTACGCATTTGCATTTACGATTAATGGACATACCACGAAATTCACTGCATTATCCGAATCATGTTCATTCTTCACTACAGACACTCCTTATGTACGATAAATTGAAAACAACTTTGAACTTATGCGACTACCTTCAATAACTGCAACTCGCTCTCTTTCGTACGCTCGACTCATACTCAGACAGTATTTGCGCACGGATAACTCTACCGCTCTATCGCTTGTGCACCAACTCCGCCAAACATATACAAAAAATTACCATCACAAACTCGCCTAATCTCATATGTGCTGGCTGAATTATATCAATAAACCAGGAAAGGTGCACGGTGTCTTATGGAAGTACCAAAGATATAGATATAACATAAATGACGATACAAGAGATAAGTCTCGAATAGGCTTTTCCCACTGGACGGAACAGAAGGTTAGCTCTTCTTCGTGCAGCACCTTGTATAAAACCACAAGATGTACCCGGACGTAACTCTCTCACTTGCCCTTCGACCATTATGTCGTCTGAAACTCCCTTTCAAATCAACATCCCCGACAGGAAACTTAGTATCCTTCGTGCTAAACTTGAGCTCGCTACTTTCCCGGACGAACTTCAGGACATCGGATGGAAGCACGGCGCGCCTCTGGCGGATATGAAGCGGCTCGCGGAGAGGTGGAGAAATGGGTACGACTGGCGCAAATATGAAAAGGAATTAAACCAAGAACTGCCGATGTTTACTCGCGATATTGACGTGGATGGTTTCGGCGCGCTGAATATTCACTATGTTCACAAGAAGAGCAAAACTGTTGACGCCATTCCGCTGTTGTTTTGCCATGGATGTAGGTCTAAGTATCCACGCTCATCGACATGTTTCTGACATTAGCTAGGGCCTGGAAGTTTCTTGGAAATTAGGCCAATGTTGTCCCTCTTGACTGCGTCGTCTCCTGAACATCCTAGCTTCCATGTCGTAGCGCTTAGCTTGCCTGGTTTTGGCTTTTCAGAGGGTCCACACAGACCAGGCTTTGCTCTTGATCAATATGCTGAGGTGGTTTCTGTTCATCGCACATTCTGAACTCTTAAAATGTTGACTAGTGAATTTAGGTAACTCACAAACTCATGATCGCTCTCGGGTACAACGAGTATGGTACATCGCTATTTCGATCATCTCTTACAATAGGTTTGCTCATTTGTCTTGCAGTGACCCAGGGAGGCGACTGGGGTTTCCTCGTGAGCGAGGTTTCACAAGTAGACCGGATTCATATTTAATGTACTCTCAGATCACTCGGAGAATGGCCGCCAAGTATGGTGGAAAACATCACAAGGCGTGGCACACCAACTTTCCAATGTATGTCACTTTCTCGCTCACTGCTTACCCATCAACTCATTTCATCTTTGATTAGGGCCGATCCACCGACCTGGAAATCGCCCCTGTCTTTCTTGTCGTACTTGCTGACCCCCTTTTCTGCGGAGGAAAAGGCAGGACTTGAGCGCACCGCGTGGTATCGCAACAAATCATCCGGCTACTTTGTTGAACAGAGCACCTTCCCGCAGACGCTCGCTTACGGGTTTACTGATAGTCCTGTTGCTCTGCTTGGTTGGTTTTACGAAAAACTGGTCATCTGGACCGACGACTACAAGTGGACTGATGACGAAGGTAGCAGCAGTTCCACTTCTTAATATACTACTCACCTACCTTTGAAACAGCTCTGACATGGATCTCCATATACTGGTTCTCCCGTGCCGGGCCTGGTGCTGCCCATCGCATTTACTCCGAGGTGTCTGGCGATTTCTACGATCTAGGTCGTACTAGTTACCCCACTATTCCTATGGGAGCATCGTATTTCCCAAAAGAGCTCCTACTTTTACCCTCAGCGTGCGTTCTATCGATAAGCTTTGCTGCCACGAAGCTAACATAAGATTGTAGGTGGCTGCGCAGATTGAATAACGTTGTGATCGAGTCCCATCACACGTCAGGAGGCCATTTCGCTGCCTATGAACGGCCGGAAGCGCTTGTTGAAGATGTGCGGAAGATGTTCGCGAAGGGAGGCCCCGCGTTCGCAATTGTCCCTGGAAGAAGTGGATATGCTTGAACAACCAACATTCGTATGCTATTCAAGTGACTCGGAATTAATATTAGGTGAAAGTGTACGAATAAGTAGTGCCATTCAGAATATCTGTATGAAATCGTGTACCCTGTACCCTGCATCTTGTGCAATACACTCTGCTATCCATGTGATGTTCCGGATTTCCTGTTCCTTCAGCTTCGCATAACCTGTAGAACACGCCATACTGGAATTGCTGCAGGAAAGCCAGCTTATTGAGGTGTACCTCCATACGGAAGAAACGATCTTCCAAATGTACAGCTACTCCAAAGTCCCCAAGACCTCCACTACGCTGGGTTGATGCCGAGTTGTTCTCGAAGAACGAACGATATTCGCCGACGTTCTCGCACACTTGACGGACTTGATCTATGTCACCCGCTTTGGTGAGGGCATTGTTGCCTGCGGGAAACAATCGCCCAATGGCGGGGAAAGGTTTAGCACGCTGCTCCTTGGTGAGCTCTGCGTCAAAGGAGTTGATGGTCGTCTGTCAGAACCCAGCCTCGATCTTCATCCACAAGCATCAAGATCAACCATTCAAGTCGGTGAAAGCTTGGTATGTGGGCTCATATGTGATACCATTTTTGATCAGCAATGTTAATGTCGCTGCGACTCACACATTAAGTTCGTCCAGAGTTGAGTCCGATCCCGTAGCGAAGTACGTCAGTCTTTGCGGAAATTTACAAAAAGTTTTGATTAAAAAAATTCTGTATGTTGATGTGAATACCAGGTATCCTTGATATCGTGCAGCAAAACTGCCATGCCAGAGTGATCAAAACGTTATAACCATGAGCGCGCACGTAACCGGCGCTGTATAGTTATATAGCGGGTTTGTATCGCATTCCAGGAAAAATAACGCCCCCTTGACATTGTCAGAGGAGGAGAATCCCTTGAATCACAGAAGTGGCGACGTGGTCTTAATGACCGAACTGATGGTCACACAAACACCAACAGTGAGCGGGCAGAGCATGCGGATCCGCTTAGTTCTCGGCTACATGAGCGCCTGCCGTATGCTGACCATTCGACAGCTGGTATTTCCATGACTGAGGATACGTTAACAACGGTCACGCATACGATAGGATAAGTTATAACTCACCAGATCTACCTGAACCGGGACCAGCGATGCATCTTGTCTCGCCTCCTTGCCCCACGTATATCCTTAGTAATTTGCGCGGCATGCTGAATCAAGGATGTACCGTGACGGAGATCTCGCCCGTGCAGAGCATGCCAATTCATTTCCAAACTGAACCTCCAATACCCATCTCTGGCATATACTTCTCTTTCCCCCATCTTCTCATCTCTTCCACAACTTCTCCGACCTTCTGAAACTCAGACCAACCCTGGCGATGCTCATCGATGGCAAAATCTATGGGTTTCACAAATCGCACTCTTAGTGCCAACCACTGCATTTTGACGTTGGCAATGAATTCTTTGACATTTTCTTGTGAGCATTGTGCATAAATGATGCCTGGGTAGCCAACTGTGGCAAAGCCAAATATCAAAAGCTCAAAGGACCATCGCTACAATGACCGCCGTTTTGTCGGGGACACAAGATGATGGGATGTCAGGAGCGTGTGGTAGTCTGCTGTCTATGGGAGACGATTGGTGCTCTGTTGTTAGGATATCCATACTCCCCCGGCAGTCCTGTATCGATACTATGTCCGTCCTCATGTACCTCGGCAGCAAGTGCATGTAAAGCAACTGGTAGATTGGATAGCTCTATACGGTTTAGCATTCTCAGACCATAATCCACAAGACGCCGGGTGACGGTGCTCACTCATTTCCTTGCACCTCAGCTAATTTCTCCTGAACAAAGGCCTGCTATCGGTGATGTTCATCTCTGGATATACCCTCGCCGTTGAGAGAAACCAAGGGAACCTGCACAGTGTCGACATCCGAATCCTCCGGGTATCATTCCGGGAACTGCACCTCGAAGGAGATACGCGCGTCCGCAGCCTTCACTTGAAACTTGACTTATGGAACTGGGCTGGGCAGAGATGGGAGAGCTGTAGTACGAACGAGAACGATTTACCGGGGAGTGTTGGATAAGCTGAAGTTCTTGGAGCTGACTTTTCAGGTACGTCAAGGTTGACCATGAGGCAAAATTGGAGGCAGCACCGCTTATCTACTACTTGGCCCACGAAGGCGCTGGTCAATATTTGAGAGCGCTGGTGTCCTGATCGATGCGTATCAAAATTAAACAATGAACTCGCTAAGTACGTAGATTATCGTAGTGCAACTGTTGGTCCTCCACACAAGAACCAAGACATTAAAATTACCCTTTAAGCAAACTACTTTCAAGTTCTAGACTAATCCCAGAAAGACCCCTGACGGACGCAACGAAAGAAGACGCAGAAGATGAATAACACCGGCTAGAAAGGGCAGAGACGAAACTTGAACCAGACACAAACGAAACGAACGAAGACGCAGACTATGAGTACCATCGGATAGAAAGAGCAGTTAGCGAAGTTCCGCGAGACAGAACCGCAATGAACGACCACGAAGATGAGTTCCAACGGATAGAAAGATCAGACACTAAATTTCAACCGGATGGAGAGTCAAAGTCAAAGAAAGGATCCAATCTTATTGCCTCGGGTGGCCTTACTCTTCTCTTTGCAGATGAATCTTGTCCTGCCGGCCTGTCAGCCTTTCGCTTCCCTTTGGCGTCCGGCGTTTTGGTGGTGAGTTTTCTGAGGGGCCCTTTGCAGCTTGGGCCAGTCATCGGAAGTAGCCTCATGGACCTCTGGTACACTTGAAAGCTATTTTGACGCTTCTCGTTGGGGCCAAAAGTCCACCTCTATGCAGTCAGGTGGACCCTCAGCCTCTTGTGCCTGCGGACACTCACAGTTGCAAGTTAACATCCACGGCACAGGAACAAGCCCTGTGTATTCTGACGGGTGAATGAGCACCTCCGCAGTGTCGCGAAGATTGAAAACCATGACTGGTACATCTCATTCAATTCCATAGAGGTCAATATAGAACTGATAAGGACCATACTTGTCCAGCATATCTTTCAGCGTCCAGTCAGTGATGCCTTTCAGACGTTGGGCCATCGTCCCACAAAGATTGTCACTCACCTCGCCCCGCCTCGTCAGACACCTTCTTGGGCGAGTACCATTCTTTGATGGCATCTGCACCGAGCACAGTGAGGTGTAAGATTATTGGCTTCTACTATCCTGACCTGCAGTGGAAGGAAACACAAGCGGTGAGGACCTGTTCAGGCATCAAATACATGCATGATTCGACGGGAAGCTGCTGGACAGATAACACGAGCTAACGACACTAACATTTTCAGTCGCTACGTGAAACAGTCGGCGGGTGAACGCATTCGAGGGATGTGATGCTGAAGAATATTAATGAAGACGCTGTAAGACGGGTTATGGTGCTAGTGCAGGGTATGTATGACATGATGAACGCCTAGCTATAGGGGTGGCGCGTTGATGAGGTTCGAACAAGTCATGGACGGAGAGTTACGGGATATCGGTGTGCAGAGAATGGTAGAGAGAGATCTAGAGGGTGTTCGACCACTAACATGGAAGTCGGGGTCAGGACACAATGGTGACGTCATGTGGCGTCGTAAGGAGCTAGTGTTTTCTGACATGGGTTTGGACAGTGAGTGTGTCAGTGGTAACACCATCTATAGCACTCTCAGGATGATAGGTAAAGGGGATAACATAGATTCATCACTCACGAATACAAACCACCAACGCCTCCCTCCACGTGTGCACTCGCCGTTCTCATTTCAAACCTGACAAGACCCTGGGGATGAGCGTCGCCAGAGACAGCAAAGTATTTCTGGAACTTGAGAAGCGAGAGTAGTGGACGTGATGATGAGCTTGAGGGCTGGGCGGCGAGCGAGGGTTAGAATTTCTCAATAGCCACTGCATCCCCCGCATTCCATACAAACAGTTTGTTATGAACAGTGAATCGAAGGCAGTTTCCTTCCGGACTGATCCCTTCGCTTATGCTCGATTGTGCACAGCGTTGTCGAGAGTGAGAACGCGAAGAGACACTGTCTATTTGCAGACACGATGTTAATATAGTATTTCCTGAGTTGCTACTGTAAACACAATATATTGTCAGAGAGCCGACCGAAGGGGAGTCCTTGTTCAGAATATCGGTATGAAGTCGTGTACCCTGTCCCTCGCATCTTGCGCAATACACTCTGCTATCCATGTGATGTTCCGGATTTCCTGTTCCTTCAGCTTCACATAACTGTAGAACACGCCATACTGGAATTGCTGCAGGAAAGCCAGCTTATTGAGGTGTACCTCCATGCGGAAGAAACGATCCTCCAGCTGTGCAGCTACTCCAAAGTCCCCAAGATCTCCATTGCCCTGGGCTGCTGAGCTGTTGTCGAAGAACGAACGATATTCGCCGACGTTCTCGCACACTTGACGGACTTGGTCTATGTCATCCGCTTTGGCGAGGGCATTGTTGCCTGCGGGAAACAATCGTCCAATGGCGGGGAAGAGTTTAGCACGCTGCTCCTTGGTGAGCTCTGTGTCAAAGGAGTTGATGGTGATGTTTATCGTTCGTCTGTCGGCTTCGAAGGCGAGAATGCCTTGCATGACCTCTGCTGTTGTTGAACCAATAGTAGAGACATAGTTGTAGAAGTCCTCGAGGTACGCTTTGTAGACTGTATTCCTGATGATCTCGATGTTCATGTCATCAAGATCAGCAGCAGACAGGCAATCGCGGAAGTAGGGCGCTGATTGGGATGTTTAGTATTCGGGGTAGGGGTCGCGCCAGGACAAATACCTAGAGGCGTTTCTACCAATACGCTCTGATAGAGCTCTTCCACGTTGGTTGCCACACATAATGCAGGCATGGTGTCGAATATGCCTAGTGGATGACATCGTTCGAGAAGTTCGTGCGTGTCCCTCTCGTGGAGCGTGCCCGTTATGAGTAGGACGACGTTGTCAATCATGTACCCATACCTACAAACTATGAGCGCAGGAACATATAATTGATCATTACACACGTAATATAATCCAAGAACTTGCTCAGAGGCTCAACAGAATTGCTGCGGAGAAAGTTGAACTGGTCCACGAGAGTCTGTGTTGCCTTGTCCGCTATAGTTGCGGTGGACAGCGGGGATGGTTCGTTCGCGAGGAAGTTTCCATAGTCAGTCGCAGAAAGCTGCGTTCTGAAATCTATAGCAGGCGCGCGTAAGTAAAGAGTAGCTTGTGTCGCCTCCCTTCCTGACCTTCCAGTGTCTCGCACTGAGTCAAGCTAGCATAATGTGATTGAGTAAGTGTGCCGGATTTGTAGCCTCGAACGATCCCTTCCAGGAAGCCGTTGTTCACCTAGAGGGGCATTTCCATTAGCTTTAGAAGACGTGTCATTGATAGTGTATACTCACGTTGAAAAAGAGACCCTCCATAATGACCCACTCATGAACTTACTGCGCGACTTGACAGAGACCGATTACTTGAGACGTAAGAGGAAGGTTGTTTCCACGGTTGTATATCGTAGCGGCGCGCACCTTCTCATAGTTAGAACGGACTTGTCATGGTTCTCATGCAGATTGTCCACCACAAGCTCTGTAGGATGCTCTAAATACAGTTGACTCCTCCTCAAATACCCATTTGACGTCAAGCTCGTGATTCCCGAGTAAGCGTTCAAACAAACCAAGCATCACATCACCAGCAGGATAAAGCTCGACGTTTTCTCATTCGATAGGAAGCAACAAAGCAAGATATGACACACTGTACTCAGGCCAATACATGGTAAAAGATGGCACAATCCGGGGTATGTTACTCGTTTTTGAACGCGAGCAATTGTTGACGGTAGGAGTCGCAGGACACTATCCTCATAGGAAGAACGTGAAGGGTGCCTGTTCCTGAACGCCGGAACGAACCGGCACCACATGTCCAGCTGAGCGGAAGCGTTTCTCACTCTTTCCCTCATTTTCTTTCTCGGTGCTATACATCCATTAGTCGCTCGAACCTATACAGTTTCTCGATATATATTCAGAAAGCACATCATGCATCAATATAAGTATTAGTAATGAAATCTACAGTCATCAACGCAGTAGTCAAATTCCCACGAACTCATGCAACTGGTGTCGGGGACTCTCAGGTCGACCGGTCATGTACCACACCCATGTTCCGCGTGGTGAGACTGAGCAGAGTTCGTGGAAATGAGTTGTGTTTATTTTTGTCCCCCATAATCACAGCCTCCCCAATACGCCATCGCGCTCCTCGGTTGCGTGTGTTTCTGCAACGTATAAGTTCGTGTGGTGGGCAAATGCTACGGGCCTGTGTTTGGTCTTACCATGTCTGTATCCGAAAAGAACTCCGTGGTTGAGGGGGACCAGGTTTCTGTAGAGGATCACAGACTTTTACGCAAGGTCGACCTTAGACTTCTACCTGTTTTCACTCTGCTTTACCTCCTTAGTTTCCTGGATAGGTTTGTTCTATATCTGATTAGTAGCTGCATCTTGCGCTAATGTCCAAAGGTCAAACATCGGGAATGCGAAGTAAGCAAAACTAATACGTACTTAACTCTTACGCTGCTGACAACCCAGATCACATGTAGAATCGATGGAATGACAACTGTGCGATGGTTTACGCCTTTCGTGATATGGAGTCTAGACCTGACATGTGATATCTTTGTGATCTTCATAGGATCTCGGCGTATCTCCCGCTAGTTATAACACCGCTTTAGCCATATATTTTGTTGGTTATGTTATTTTCGAGGTCCCTGCCAATGTATGTGCCGCAAATTCTGATCCACCCCTTCAGCTGACATCATTTCCCCTAGATAATGTGATACCGATCCCCATCAATGCTGATCTGGAGGGTATTCTGACCTGTTATCACCCCTATGCAGATTAAAGAAATGTAATCCGCAAGTTTGGCTCCCGTCATTGACTCTCGTCTGGGGTATCGTCTCTATTGGCCAAGGCCTTGTCAAAAACCAAGCCGGGTTATTTGGAATCAGATTCTGTATGTTGTCTTTTGCGTATGGGGATCTTGCTGATGATTGCCTAACTTGCCATCAGTACTTGGCGCCACGGAAGCTGGTCTTTTTCCTGGCGTGATATACGTCTTCTCAGTATATTATCTGAGGTGAGAAGTAGAATGTTAGACTCTTGTGCATACCGAGGCTTGACTACTTGTATAGACGCGAGCGGAGTTGGCGAGTCGCAATTTTCTTCGGTGGTTCGGCATTGGCGGGGGCGTTTGGAGGTATGCTAGACGTTCTTGATGTGACTGCAATTCAATTAAATTTCTGAAGGGATATTTGCATATTGCATTGGATTGATGAACGGTGTAGGTGGCAGAAGGGGTTGGCAATGGTATGTTCGCATTCCCACGTATCACCTCATTAACCCAACGTCGAAAAGGATATTCATTCTCGAGGGAACACTGACAGCAGTCGTTTCCCTCGTCGCATATTTTATTGTGCCCACTTGGTCTCACGAGGCCAAATTCGTGAGTGTTCTCCTTCTGTTTCGGCACCCCAAAATGTCAACTTTTGCAGCTATCTGAGCCAGAAAAAACGCGCCTGCTAGATAGATTGCGAGCAGACTCTGATGCAGGAACTGACCAAGTTTTCAAATGGTCGTCCGTCCGAGATGCTTTTGGCGATCACTTAGTCTGGGCATATGCATTCCTTTTCCATGGATTCTCTTTTGTCCTGTACTCGCTCAGCCTTTTCCTGGTACGTCCGTCATCGAAGGGAATTGCGAATGGTGTTTGACTGCCCGTTCTAGCCTACAATCATCGCTGGACTTGGGTTTGAGACGTGGCAGGCTCAATTGTAAGTTCCTTCGACCTCAAAGCCTAATCCAATATTGATGTAGATTCCTACCATAAGGATGACTGTCCCCCCAAACGTGCTCGCAAGTTTCTCAATATGGACCACAGTATATTTTTCAAGCAAGTTCAATGTAAGAGCACCTTTCATCATAGGAGCTGCAATTGTATCCATCATTGGTGAGAGCATTTGCGCCACGTACTTCAATTATCTCATGAATTTCAAGGATATATCCTGCTTATCGCTTGCACAAGTCGTAAGTTGCCCAATTTGAGCAGTCGTTAGCGCAACACTGTGTTCACACATAACAGCCGGCCTTCAATACTTTGGAGTACACCTCGCAGCAGGTGAGTCGCAGAAAATTAATCGAGGTTTTGTCGCTCATATGTCCTGATTTAATACAGCCGGCGTGTATACAGGCAATTCGCTTCTTCTAAGGTCTGTTCAGGTGATTGCAGTTGTGCTCGTGGCACTAGCTAATAGCATGACACAGTTGGCCTGGAGAGAACGTTTCTGGTCAGGCTAAACGCGCAGTTGCGGTAGCCCTCCAAATCAGCGTCGGTGATATAGGAGCGATTGCAGGCTGTCTGATCTACAGGCCCACACTGGACAGTCACCTGTACCGCACACCCAATCTTATAGCTATCGGCTATCTCCTGTTCGCAATTGTGATGACCACATATTTGTGGCGTGTGATGAGTGCAGAAAACAGGAGGCGAGATGGTTTATTGTCACAGGGCGAAGCAAAGGAAGAAACCGAGGAAGAGAGAATCAGGTTAGGCGATCGCTCTGTGCGCTACAGATACCAAATTTGAGCAGATTGCTCCATATCATCTAAACATCCATTAAACGACTTTCCCGAAGGAATATAACGTAGTGGGTAGTGTGATGCGATATTAGTATGTGCGTAACGTGCGACTAGCACGCGTATAGTGATATAAACATAATGGACAGAGTTCAGAGACTAAAAGCTACGTGGTCACGCGACGCCTCTTGTTAACGCGTGTTGTCCGTTGCCGATATTCGTCATCACCATCATCTTCGGTGAAGTAATCATCTTCCGCTGCGTCTGGGCCGTAAAGTTGCTTCCGCTTATCTAGGTCGAGTTTCCGTAGAGAGCGAAGATTGACCATCAATGATTTATGAAATTCGCTCTAAATTTGGACGTCTATCAGACAAGGCCAGGTCAAGAGGAATGAAGGCTACCTTCGCAACGCGACGCCTACCATCGGAAGGCGCACTCTTCTCAAGACGCTTGCGTTTTTCCTTGTACTATGAAACATATGTCGATATTTGGAAAGAAGTTTGATAAATCGGAACGGTACCTTTTTCTGTTCCTCAGCCAGTAACACTGACAGATGCTTGATCCACCGTTGTAGATTCGACTCTACCTTGCGCTTCTTTGCCTGCATTGTCATGAGGACGACAACAGCATTTTCGTCATCATCTTCGACGATAGCTTCATCATCAGAATCTGGGATGACATAAGACATGACAGCGGCCGCAGAGCGGCGCGGTCTCCGTTTATTGGCTCGCGGAGAAACTTGAACCTTCGATGGACCGGCCTGGGTAGAGAAACGAGGGATGGTGGGGCTGGTCTCCTTTGACTTCACCTTGACCTTGCTACATCGCTTCGGTTCCGTCGCTGGTGGTTGCTTCGAAAGATAGTCTTCTTCAGAAAAGTAAAACTCGGCGCCATTCTCAATCTCGTGGTAAAGACACCAGTTCTAGCAGGGGTTGAGAAACAGTCAGCAAAAAATACACCCTATTATCGATTTGTGCTAACTGGGGCTTTTCCAAGGCGTGCAAGTAGCCTGAAATGCTTGAGTGTTACAGGTACATGTTGTGATGTTGAAACATAGTTAGTTGAGGGGGTATTGCATGTGAAAAATCCATGAAGAAGCTATGCTGTTGTGTCAGAGGGATCACTCCTCAGGAGAATACAGCACCAACCGTAGTGTTGTTATTGATTACGGCGTGTGTCAGGAACGTAGCAGCCATCGCACTTCGGACCGGATATCGTTCTTTCACCCACCGACCAACTGGAATAAAATCTGCGAAGCATTATGACCATCCATCGCTGTATATGCACAAGGTTCAATCATTACCTGATGGGTACCCGAGCTTTGCGGTGGTGTCAGGTCCAAAGTAGCTGAAATAGAGAGACCGCCTGCGAGAACGTGTGGGAGCCATTTCGTCCTGTCGGATCATAGAGGACAATGTGTCTTGGCCGATGATCCCCTACAACGTAATGAGCAAACGTTCCAACGTTCAAAGTAACGATACACTAACCAATTCTGAGGTATCCCCAGTTTCGGCTTCAACAAGCCCTTCATTTCCACTTTCATCCTCGTCCATCTCGCGACCATCTGTAGCAATTGCATCCCCCGTTTCTGCAGGATTCCCCGAAGCGTTCGGGACTGCCGAATGCAGGCCAGCAGCCCCAGAGTTACTCCGTGTGGCTTTCGAGCTGGCGTTGAAGTCTCTACATAGTGGAGCTTCGTATACAGCGCATGCCTCTTCATCGTCATAAGGTGGAAGATCATCCAAATTTATCGCATAACGCTGAACCGCATTTTCTTGCAATACCGCATGAAGATATGGATGGCAGTCAACGAGTTTCTTGAGCGTCTTCCCCTATTTTTCGAAGTCGTCAAAATAATGGCCCACCACAATCTTAAGTCCAACCACTCACCTTACTACCAATCTTGAGACACTTCACAGCAACTTCTTGAAGGATGTCTTTGATATCACTCGAACTGAGATTCATCTCGTCCTTCGCGAAGTCAACAAGAGCTGAATGTTTCTCAACGAACGGATTGGTCAAGATGTCCACAACATCCTTCCTCGTCAACGGGAGTAGACCCAGGGGTTCTAGTTTGCTCTTCAGTGTGCCCGAGGTGTTTGGTTGAACCAGGACATTATCCGACAAACATGCTGTCAAGAGCATGACGATGCGGACTGTCGGATCTGTACTAGGGAAATCGGCGTATAGATGTCTGAGTACATTGATGGTATAGGCGGAAGTGATAGAACGGGTTCTGACAAATAGCTAAAGACAGCTCAAGTCAAAGCAACACAAAGTACATTTGAATTCACCTTGATCAACTCGGCGACGACGGTGCTATGGATCAGTAAAGTAAGAATGAGGAATGAATAAACATCGATCTCAAAAGGTGGTATACGTACGAGAGATCAAATAGGAGTTCCTTGGTGCGGTCAAGGATCTTAAGTGCACGGTAAGCCGATTCATTGCTCTTCGATTCCATACAGATTTCAGCTGCTACTGTGCGACTCAGGAACATCCTAGTGGGCAAACAGGGACACGAAATGCGAAGACGTATCTGAGCATGCAAAGACTGTTGTGATAAGACTGCTTGCTCTCACCTACTGTCAAGACGCCGCAGCTCGCGCACGTTCCTGAGAATGTCATCGGACCGTTCACCGTTGTTGAGCGCCATCTTCTCAAACATCTTACGGAAGACGAAGTCGCGGTACTATCGAATTCTTTAGTACTAGTGGCGGATGCGTTAGGATGTAAGATTACCTTGGTGTCCATGTGGAATCCATTGGCTTCAGCATAGGGAAGCAATCTTGGCTCGATGGCGAGAGCGATCGGTAATTGCACCATAAGGGGGTCCTGTCAGAGGACGCCGTGAGCATACCCAAACAAGTTACGACATTCCAGAAGCTAACCTTCATGCTGAACGGGATGAACTAAAGCGAATCGTAGGAAACCATACCATCGAGGAAATTAACGCCGCGCACCTTATACTTGCCAAAAATATCCCGCACTGTCTCCCACTTTGTGCTCTTCATATCTGGCGGAAGCCTACTCTCCTTTAAAAACACAGCGAAGAAATAACCGTCATCCTCATTCTTTCCCAACGGTACTTCATCGAATAACCCGCATGCGACCTTCATGAAATGAGCGAAAACGGGAATCGACATGTTGCGAACCCATGCGGTCTTTATGAAATGATTTGCAGACCTAAAATAATGGTGTATGGCGACTTGGACAAGATATCTGGATACATATGCGCCACTACTGATCAAGATCTAGACAAAGGGAGCGCATATAATCAGTTAGGCTCCATGAAGCGCTGATACACAGCAAGAGAAATAAGTGACAAACGTCGATGACTTTGTCGGTCATAACCTTCCCCCTTCCCAAAGCCCAAAACATAGCGTCCATGCGACCATAACGGTTGAGAAAGTAGTGAGCTCGGACGTAGGGGTCATGGGACACATTGTGAAAGTGTTTGGAAGTAAGCGTCAAAGCGGTCGGGTCGTCGAGCTCGTAGAAGATCAACTCGATAACTTCATCTACGCAAATCTCAGGTTGTGAGTGAGAAAAGGAATGATCAGAAAACATACCACACAGGCGTTGCATGGCGTGTGGTAGAAGGGTTCTTGACTGCGGTAGGAAGAAGCTTGAACTACTCAGGAAGAGCACTAGTCACAAGTTGGCTCCGTCCAAAGAACCTAACGACTAGGGTCAGAGACTTGGCGAAGTTGGCTCCGTTTACGATGATGTGGTTGGGTGTCAAGAGGTGTGCAGCCGGAGAACGCACTTCATCGGACTTCTAAATTCGTAACCACCGCTGCATCTTGAAAGTCAAAAAACCTCGGCCAAAGCGATCACAATGTTCCACAAAATATAATATCATGAAGTTCAAGTTGTTTAGAATGAAAAGATGCGTGAAATGACAACGTTCTACACCGTTAACAGGCGCTACATTGTGCTAAGATGCAATGCCGGCATGTGGTCTGGGTCTTTTTAGAAAGTCCTCTTATAGTAACTCCTCCAGACTTGCCACGCTAATCTCCAATCTCGGATCTGCAAGGAGGGGTTAAAGACGTTGAAATTGACGGCTTCCAACGTTGATAGAATGGACACCACTGGTATCTGAAATTTTTGGTCAAAAAATCATAGTAATCCGAAAGATCCGACGTACAGCAGCGGAAAACACAGGCATGGCGTCTGGTGGGACCCTGCCCCCGGACTCCTTGAACATGTCGCGTGCGGTGAATAAATGATCATTTGCGACAGTCGCAAGTTCAAACACCGCATCCTCTAGCCCGTGGGACGATTCCCCCTTGCTGAAAATTTCTTGCTGATTGACATTATGCTTGGCAGTGATCTCCGCGGGTATGACCATAACGCCCTTGCTAGCATGAAAAGGCAAAGCTCGCAGAAGGGTCGTCAATGATTGAGCTACCCCAATATGCGAAGCTGCGTGCGCAAGCGTGGAAGAGGGTAGATTCAGCATTGCCAACAGAAGATAGAGGAAGGTTGATGAAGTAGACTCTGCATGTGATGTCATGGACTCCAGAGTAAGGTGTGTCTGGTTATGAAGTTCTTGCTCCTTCAAGTTAGACGACTATAAGGGCGCCATATGTGAACGCGTGAACGGCTCGCTTACCCTTGCTTCTATTATCCTGTTAAAGTGATATAATGGCAAATGGTTATCCCGTGTTGCTTCATGGATCGCGAAAGCAATGGGATGACGCGGAGGCTTATCCTATAATAGACAATCAGATGGTTGCGGTATTCAAGGAAGTGCCACCTACATTATAAATATCTTTCATGGCATCTCTCCAGAACATTAGGCGAGCCTGACCCAAGGTAGTCTGGGACACCGCTTCTCGCACCGTGGCAAGCTCGATCTAAACCGCGAGTCAGAGACAGTTAAACACTGGTAAAGCGTCACACGTACATATAATGCTCTGAGCGCGAAATACCCACCTTGAAATCGTTTAGGATATAGCTGGGACGTCAAATAACCTTCATAGTCATGTTTTCGTACCAAGTCTTTGCAGTATTCAGCTGGATTGGAAATACCAGCCTCAGAACGCAAAACTGAACCTTTATGAAGCCGGCGACAAGAACTTAAACTCTGTAGACAGTGAGAACGAGGTGACAATGGTACCACGATCATGGCTCGTGACAAAATGTAGAATGACCCGGCAACTAAACTTCAATATTTCATGAGTTACCGGAGTTATCAATCACACTTCCACTAACGTTCGAACTGCCCACGATGTCGGCGAGAAAGTCAGGACTTCAAAAGGAAGTCTTAGCGCTCTATAGACGGTGAGTGACAGTCGGGACAGAATGCAGACCTTCTTGACAAATTCTCCAGTGCATTGCGCATGGTCCGTACAAAACCAGCTTCGACCCAGCCAAAATTTCACCTCTTCGTGCGCTACAACTTTCACACACAAGCATCTTCTGTATCACCTCGCGACGTTACAGTTATAGAGCATCTTCTCCGTCGTGGTAGAAGGCAACTGGAGATGTACGAGCAGCCCTCTGTCAGAGACTGCCAGATATCACAAGTCATGAGTGATTGGGAGCAAAGCCAACGCGGATCACGGACAACTTCACAGTAGCCAAATTAAAATATCAAACCTCGCAAGAGATGGTAGACTTGGTCAAAGCCATATTGGGGGTAACTACGAGTATGATACAAAAGGTCTTAGGCGTAACTTCCTCGTCGCATCACACAGTAATAGGTGTACTCGACCTCTTGGTCCGCCGTGCCTTCAGCCTCTCGGCACGCGTACGAGGAACATTTTCTGGATCCTGAGATAACTGAACACCAACTGTCGTGGGTTTCGGCTTGGATGCCAGGAGCTGGCGTTTAGCTTCCAATTCAGCAGTATACTTCTCGTAAAGTAGTCTTCGCTCGTTAATGACGTATTTTATACGTGCCATCGATTTCCGACACTGTAAAAACATTCAACGCCTTAGTCCAGCGTAAAAATGGTATGCTTACTTGAAGATCCTTTTTAATGCCAGCAAGACTCTCATGATTGCTGACACCAAGTCGTCTCGCCTCCTCTCTCTGGGCAGCAAGGAGGTTTCGTTCTCGCAAGAGAACATACCAAAGCGTATGCAAGTCCTTGAAGCTCTTTCGCCGAAGTTCCGCTGCTTTCCATGACCTCGCTGCGGCCAGTAACTCAGAAACCCGTGATAATATACGAAGAAAATATTTAATGCTCACCGGGATCATCTTGGAATGTATCTCTTCCTTCAAGACTCACATACAGCATCTCCCCGTCGACTTCCTTCTTCCTGAAAAAAGCCCAAAGGCCATGGTTCGGGTCTACCTCGACGCCAAGGTGGGGCCTGAGGGTAGCACCTTTCGACTTGCGAGTGGATGGTTGGAAGCCAGGCTTTTGAATCATACGCGAAGGATCGATGAGTGGAACTTCATTCGAGTTCCAACGCACCGATTGCAGAAAACGAGCAGCACGCAAAGGGCGAATTGCTTGCAGAATTGTTGCCATCGTTGCGTCAAAGAATTACTCGGACAGTCTAATTTGCCCGAGATACACAGCCAACCACATAATAATCGGCTTAGTCAGCTTTCTGCAACGGTCACTGAACAGTTGCCTTTTGCCCTTAACTTGCAAGTTACCAAGTACCGGCCCGAACAACAGCTTGGGGAGCCCATGATATGTTTCAAGTCCTTTGCTGCTCACTCCTGGCACGAATATTTTATTCATTAGCAGCGCAATTTCAGTCTGAATGCAAACCGTCTGGGCCACTAGTCAACACTTGCAGACCTCTGCTCAATCAGCTGCACTTCCCAGAAGCAGAAACAGCATCTCGGCCATGTGCAACCGTCACTTCACGGGCGTCGGGCGTGGTTGAAGGAACTCATACTCCCAAACCCGTGAAACAATTTTGTTGTCCCCGTGCCCGACCGCTGATATCGGACTGTCAAATGCAACGAGGTTAGAGTCCTTGGACTCCAGGATCTTTCTCGGGAATTGCACTTGCAAATGACTGACCCCTCTTTCCCTCCTCCAGGCACAGCGTTCGTCCGTATCGCATAGGGGCATCTGGGAATGCATGGACTAACAAAACAAGACTCAGATCTCCCTAATACCCTTTCTTCCCTTCGGGGCTTAAACACTGACGAGCATTTCTACAGAATCAAACAGCGCAATATATTTGCATCCAACGAGCTTCCTGCAACACCCGATCATTGGGCTGTTCAGATTGGGCGAAATATCGGTTTCTTGATGGCGATTTGAGCCACAGCAACTATGCAGGGTTCCTGCAGCACAAGAGAATATGGAAGAAATGGCTACTTATGAACTAGCCCACGGATGATTGATGAAACGCTGTGAGTCCAACGAGACGCGACAAGTGCGCCGTGCCGCAAGCGGACATTGCTTAGCACTCCAAGGCATAACTTGGGAGTGAGAGGTATGGTCTTTGTCTGAAGTTCATTCGTAGGTCCTTGACGAGATCTCTAACCTCAGTTATCTCGAGGGCTATGAGCGCATTGACGCGGATACACTTTTGTGCTGCTAGCCACGTGATGCGCTCGCCATCAGAAACATAACATCAACGCGGCCAAGAAGTTGTAAACGATGGTTATATTGACCTTTTGCTGTTTCAGAAAATGCCAAATTAACCATCGCCTACAAGCGAGTTCGAGACGTTTGAGGAAATACACATAGGAAACACAAGAACGCCAAAGAAATGGGTATGCTACGTACCTAGTCATCTGACTGTCAGCATGGGCAGAAAACCCATATGACAATTTCCCAACCCCAAGTGTGAATTTGTACGACCGAAATAAATATCAATATTCCGATGCGCTAAGACACTCACGCGAGTAATCCCAAACTCAAATCGCTTCCTGCCATTTGTACCGCCATCTGTTTAATTCATTGCATTGAGTTCAGGTCCCGGGACAACTTGCGCGATAAGGGGCAGACGATCGATGGCAGGATCCACGGTAAATAACAAAAATATGCGAGGGTATCGGTGAAAATCCTGACTGGGAGGCCTTCATTTTCATCAAGTACATTCTGTGACGCTGTTCTTCAAAGTTGCATATGACCGGACGAGCTATAGACAATTCACGGATTGGTTCTGCGGAACAAACACCAAGCGGACTCATAAACGCTGTGGTCATTCACGGAGTCAGATGCTGCGGAACTGTATATTCAGTCATTGATTGAAATAACGACTTGTGCAAATTGGTGAAATCTAGTCCGTCGTTGGTAGGGTAGTGAAAACGAATAACTAGTGAGGTATACTATTTCTTGGGCTTTTTGGCTGGAGCGTAGGTGAATAGCGAGCTCCGGAGTAAACATTGTTTCTCACCTCCATATCGACTCCGTGCAGTCATACGATTGACTACTCCTCCAAAGTCTAAAGATCCACGGACGACCTTGTAACTAGGATAAAAAAAGTTCAGGTGCACATCGAACATGTATATCTGGAGGAGACTCACCGAACACCGGGCAAGTCTTGAGCACGTCCACCGCGGATGGTCACCACACTATGCTCCTGCAAGTTATGTCCCTCGCCCTGAATGTATGCCATGACAGTCTTCCCGGTAGTCAACTTGACACGCGCGACTTTCCGCTTCGCCGAATTGGGTTTCTTGGGCTTCATTATAAAGATTTGAGAGCAGACACCCTTTCTCTGAGGGCAGACCTCGAGTAGTGGTGACTTTGGGTCTTTAGCTTTCTGCGGACGCTTCCGTCGCATCGTTTGGTTGAGTGTCATGGCCAATGAAGGCGACGAACTGAAAAAACGCGATTCGAGAAGGGATCTTGTTGCAAGAGGAATAACAGAGAGCTGTGTTAGCCTACATGGCTGAGATATTCGACTCCAAGCTCGCAGTGCAGACAGCATTTTCGACTTATTTTTCGGCACTAGTTGGAGAAGAAGCCAAATGTAGCTGACATAATCAGGACGGTACCGCGTATACGCCTGCCCTCAATTGGACTCGTGACAAACAACCGCTCAGGCTAAAGTGTCCATACTACTGAAGAATTCCAGAAATGCTGGTGGCCAGTTCTTCAAGGAGGAAGAGCGCGCGTTCTCGCAGGGAACCTTCTTCAGACAGAATAGAAGAGGACTATCCATCTCAGCATGTTGGTAACAACGATGATGTCGAAGGTGGAGACGACGAGGAAGAACAGCCGAGGCGGAAGGTAAAGCAGGAAAAGAAGGCCCGAAAACGCGCTCGCGGAGACTCTGAGTCTGACAATGAACCCCCTGCTGTTGTGGATGATGACGAGGACGATCGCATTGACATCGAGAACTTTCATGACCAGCCCCTAGACAAGAAGGAAGGCGGGAAGCTCTCGGGCATTGCGCAGGACTGGGAAATGATCCGGAAGCAGATACATCAGGGTTCATTCTCCCTTGCGAAGGAGGTGGCTACTTCCCTTGCGGACGTCTTGGAAGGAGATAACGCAACCCAGGCGAGTTATTAACTGGCAGTCACCATTCACTATGAACTCTTGCTGACCACCGGGACCACCCAAAGGCTTTGTCGGAGGTTGATGATATTATGAAAACATTAATTGACATCGACTACGAGATGCAATCACATGAGAAAACTCTCAGCGGGATGCACCAGCAACTAATGCGTGGCGAGCCAGTAGTGAGTGGGTCCTGATGGACAATCTGGGGATATTAACGCCTCGCACAGGAGGGTGCCGTAGACCTCTATGAGAAAGAGGTAAAGAAGAGGATTAATGAATTCAACGATAGAACCACTCGGAAGAAGTATGGCTCGAACGATCAATACGTTCAGTTCAAGCAAGGCATTTTTGTACGCTGTCCGTTAATTAACGGTTCACTGGCCTCATCAAGTCATTTTTTTTTAAAATAGGAGGTCCAAAAGCCTGGCGAGAACATACCTCCCATCAATGACTTTATACCACGGGGTTGTTGCTTCTGCATCTTGCGTGTAACGGACTCTGACAAAGGTCTTCAGAGGAGGGAGATGAAAGTGATGATGAAGACGACCTAGAGATCGGAGGAGTCACACAAGACTTCAAATGTCCTATCACCTTGACGATGCTAGTGAATCCCATGAAATCGTAAGTACGCTCATATAGGATTTATTCTCTATAACCCAACTTTTGCAGCTCCACCTGTGGCCACGCTTTCTCTGGAGATGCTATCCGGGATTATCTGAAGAGAGGCCCTCCTTCTGGGAAGTCATGCCCTGCCGCAGGCTGCAGTCAAAAGCTCACTATGGCTATGCTGGTTGCTGACAGTAGTCTGGAAAAACGGGCCAAGCTTGCGGCAAGGAGGGCTCAGCGGGATGAAGATGACAGTGACGTTGACGATGAGGAGGTGATAGAGTAAATAAGCTTCCCTGCGACTAATCTTGGTCCGGCTGTACTTAGCTTACCCTAATCAGAGATCATAATGAAAGGGTTTTCCTAACGAGCATAACCTACGACTTCATGGTATGTGTGCAATATACGGTATGTAGTACGATATTCAGTCTCCGAGAACAGACATTTCCACAAGCCCTCCGGCGTCTCTCAGTTTCGCTTCCCTCTCTTTGTTTGCCCTAGCGAGCTTCTCGATTTCGCACCCTAGTGCCCAACACCACGCATCCCTTTCAACCCTGCTTCTTGTCCTGAAGATAATAACCTTGTGCTTTGCCGAGAGAGAAGGCACGTTGTCCGCAGCTCCATCCCTACTTTTGCGGTACCAGATAGCAAAGAGCATATCCTCTTCTGGGTCATCGGCTTCGAATCCGTCAATGTAACGACGGGCAGCACTGGGAGTTTCAGGGTGATACTCGCCTGGCCGTAAAGTGAGAGCAGCCAGGTACCCTGAACAAATATAGGAATCCATTAGATTGATCTCCCTGCTCTTATGACGGAGAAATGAATTTTGCGAGACTTGGTATTGGAGGAGACGTCCAGCAACTAGGAACAACTGCACGAGCCTGCCATTATAGGAAGGCGTGAGTCCATGATCTGTTATTACAAGGCAACGCTTACTGACTTGTACTGTCCCTGGAGCCCCTTTCGTGTGAATGCGCGGCCACTCTTGAGTATGCTTCTACAGCCGTCCAGCGTGCACCAATGATACAATGAGCCCAGTTCGGGCATCAATTCTGCATCTCCAATGGGTGCCGTCGGGATTTTCTCCCCATTACAGAATGCATGCTTAGTAACACGCGGAGTGACCGGGGGACGATGGCGTGTAGAGTAAGATACGTCCATCTCATCTCGAGCATCAACGTGATGCCGCTGTGTCCAGTATTCGACAAGTGTGCGTAGTCGTTCGACCCATTCTTGACTCGTCTGGCAAGAATATGTCTACCAGGAGAATCAAACAAGGCGTTAGTAAGAACCAATTGTTCCAAATATTCTTACCTCAAATCGGATCACGCGCCCAGATATCATGACGATTTCGAAGCAGCGTCTAACACGCAGCTGATTTTTGTCATGAGCCTGCGCAAGACCATCGGCTCCACCGACATTAACTTCGTCCCTAGTCAAAATGTCTTGGTTTCCCACAGATCCATCAGCTACAATAGCCGTGGCATGGGTCCTAGCATCATGATCAATGGTTTCGTGGGTCGCCCTGCGGATCTCCCTGATATTCCGCAGGTCAAAAGCTTCAAATGCGGTTGCAATTTGAGAGGCTCCTCGTGCAACCTCGGCCTCACGAAAAGCCCGTGTGTATTCTAGTGATTCATTATGGTGTGATGATAGGGCACGAGATAAATGAACGTTTGGAGGGACAGGAGCGTGAGAATTTGAGGGCAAAAGGGCAAAAAGATGGCCGTCATGCGAAGTAAGGTAAATATGTTGTTTACTTTGACCGCTGGGTTTGATGCGATCGAGATACCCCTCTATACATGGAGGTTCGTGTACCTTTGTCCCATCGGGTAGGTGAATTGTAGCCGGATAGTGTTGGCCAAGCCTAAGCTCAAGGTGCGCCGGTTTGGTTCCCTGAGTAGGACTTAAATCAGCTGAATCTTGTGTCAGGAGTCTCCCATTATGTTCACCTGTTGCATCGCCAACCCACAGAGGACGGCCCACGGTCTCGGCTGGCCCATCACGTCTTCCTCCTTCCAAACCCAATCAAGTTTCGCTTCCAAGTTCCATGCTAACTCGAGGGTTGTGCCTGTCGCGATTTTACGTTCTACCACGTAGTTCCAGTCACGGGATGCAACCTCATGGGAGCCGCCAGATGAAGTCAGAGACTTCCGGACAGTGTCGATGATATTTCTCCGACTAAACATGTGATAGACCTTGTCAATATTAACTTCCTCGACAGCAGGAACATCCAAATCAACGCGTGTACCGATGGCCGGGCACCTAAGCTCAATATAAGGGGGTAGTTTACCGCCAATATGACGCCTGTAGTGACTACTCGATCAAAAGCTATGCCCTGAGTATCTCGTACTGACCATAACCGCCAGCACCAGTCCATAGCTCTTGTACGACATTTTAACTTGAAAATGAACACATTCGTCCCTTCTTGCACACGGTCAAATAAAGCTCGGGCTTTCGATTGGTTGTTACGGACTGGCACGCGTGGACACAAGATACAGAACGTGAAGTCGGTGAAGGAATAAAGAGTTGAATGTGTTCGTTGAGATTTGAGAGGTATTATGAACGCGAGATGTTTATGTCCAGTGATGTGCTCTTTCCCTGGCAAGGTCTGATAGGATTGACATCATGGCTCGGCAGGTTGGAAGAATAGGCTCACATAGTCTTGGTAAATTTCAAGCCGCTCTCCTCGCCAGACCACGAGAAATTCAGCCCAGTCCTCGTATCTAAGATGAGGAGTTCTACGATGCTGAACTTCATCAAAGTGGCAAGGTAATGACTCCGATTTTGTGTAGCTGACTCTGACGAGCATCCGGTCTATAAACCACATATCAATGGACACCTTCTAGTGGCACAATTCAAGATACGGACCTCGGAGCACGATATTTGCCCGCTCTTTACACCGAGATTGTTCACGTGAGGGGGTCTCATCCAAGGTGACTCCTGCACTAGTTTCGTCCACTTCACTTCCACTTCTTGCAAGGACAGCCGCAGGAGGTGCGGGGATATCGTTGACATCGATTGAGAGCTGCAAGTTCGAGGAAGTCCCCTCGTCTGCATAGTCGAAGCTCCTATCCTTTCCCTTTCCCTTGTCCAAGCCAACTGGCGCGAGCTGGGAGTCCGAGCTTGTTGGAGTGGTAATACGACCACCAATGAAGAAGGACGTCTTTCGTTTATTTGTGTGCATGTGTGCCGAAGACTTCTTTAAAACAATAGGTCGTTGAGAGCCCTCTGGGGGTGCAACATTAACATTGCCATTAGCGGAGGGTCGATACTCGGGAGTCGGTCCAGTAGCGAAAAGACCCGCGCTAGAAGAGGGCTCGGAACTCGGGGAAGGAAATATGGATGTTTGAGAGTTAATAACTGCGCTAGGAGAAACCTCTGTCCTAGCTGTGACAAATGGTTGACCGCCGACCGCAGAAAGGGGATCAGTTGTGAAGGGGGTATCAATTACAGGACAGGTTTGATTAGCTTGTGGAAGCGATGCCAAGTCGTTGTCGAGAATGTTTACACCTAAAACGTTTCCGATTTCAAAGCTTCCCCCTACCCAACGTTGCGTGGTATTACCAGCATCCTTTTTGCGATGCCTCATAGCTCCACCCCATTCGCTTTCTTGCCACCGGTTCCACATATTTTGTCGTTCATCCGTCTCAGCTTTCTGTCCCCAATCTTCCTTTCTCCCACCTTGGTGGAGGAAACCGAGGTATGCATGGTTTTGGAGGAACGAGGTGGACGATTCGTCGGCCCTATCACTTCCTTCATCGCTTGAATGCAACCACCTCAAAATTTGATTTGTAACCTTTCTGTTGGATGAATCCAAGTCTGTTTGGGAGGCATCCTTCGAGGCATCTTTCTCTGGCATGGGTCCTATGAAAATCCGGCGTCTTGAATGACCGTAACAAGCGAGGGACTCGCCAGGATGTATCAATGCGACACCACGCGAAAGTGGTTCATTTTGATGTGCCTGCAATGAAGCCATGAGCGAAGGGGGGGTGGATACTGAACGTCGAGTGGCTGAGCGCTGAATACCTAGCGCTCGTTAGACAGGACCACCCGTAACGGTGTTAAAGTAGACAAAGAAAGTGGCTTATCTCACATCATAAAACCCTAACCTGACTTTAGGGTTTGTCTGCAAAATCTATTTAAAGTACTATTAACATTAACTAACTATGTAAGGTGTGTAAATCAAGTGGGGGTTTAACGTTTAACGTGTAGCGGGTGTGACGGTCCGTTGACCTGATCCTAGATTGCTAGATACCAGCCGGCTACTTCGAGTCGGCTTTACCCTGCTCAAGCATCTGGTGCGACTCTAGCACGTACTTTTCGGCTTCCTCCCTCGTGAATCTGTTCAAGCATCAGATGAAATAGCCATCCAAGCTGTACAATTTACGTACCCGGGCTTGCGCCCTTTGACAAGCATGTCTGGTTCTCGGAGGGCAAAAGGGTTTACGTCAGTCTCGGTGTTCAGGTTGGCGAGACTGTGGTTCACGAAACGGTGCGTGGATTCATCAGACCGCACAGCGTAAATGACGTCAAGTAGCTTGGCGCCAGGATCTAGACGCCAATAGTCTTTGGCAATCTCCGGAGCAGGCATATTGCTCCATTCAGGTAGGCGTCCAGACTCGACGTCCTGGATACATCGAGTACTGAGTTGGTTAGCGTTGCTGCACAAAAATAAAATAAAGGCTGTCCTTACTAAGTTAAGACGGCCTCTTCCTCTAAGTACGCAACAAATCGGTGACATGTGCGGGGCGATATTATGTAGGATAGGACTGACAGTGCGAGTTAGCAATGTGTTTGAGATCCCGACCGATTCGATGCCACTCACAAAACAAGTTAAAAAACACGCCCTGCGCCCCTAAAATCAAACCTCGGAAAAATAATGAAGGCCTTCGCAAGGTCATAAAGGTCCTATGCGATAATGCCTAGTCAGTTTGTGTCCAACTTCACGAAACGTAATCCAATCACATTAGATGCATTCTTTCATTCTCGGCTTCCTCCAATAAAGTATGTATCCAACCAGAGTCTCGACGCTATCAAATAATTAAGAATGTGATCGTCAAAAAAGAAGTTTGACTGACCATCAGACGCAAGCTGGTGAGATGGCGGAGCATCGCCGCGACCATTCCGGGTACTCCGGCGATTGTCTCCAAGAAAAGGATACGCTAAACAACGGTAATGAAACAACGGAAATAACACTTGATGACGAATATGCTCACACTTAACCACGCCTTCTCATCCAAGATATATCCGCCCTTCCTGAGTTCTTCGAGCGACATCTGGCTATCAGCGGGGATCGGCTTGTGTTTGTAACCGGACACTAGGTCAAATCCCCATCTGACATGTACATGAGTACTTGCACAATACTCGATACTAGAAAGATCGTCTCACCTTGTCAACTTGACAAGATTGCATGCAATTTTGTCCGATATGGTTTTCGCTTCCCTTTGGAGAACCTGCCAGCTTGTATTTAATACAAATCGTGATCAGGGAAGAAATACAGGAAGTACTTCGACTGCTTTGATTTCCTCCTGAGAGTATACAGGATGGAATAGCACCCAATCGCCTCGGACGATTGTGGGCGGCAATGTGCTAATTGCATCAGGAGTGGTCAGACCCTGCTTAGATGTAGCCGAGTCCTCTGCGAAAGGATTACCGGTGCGTCAGCAATGAGGAACAACAATGTGAAGATGTCCCTCACTGATATGGAAGCCCTCTGTTCCCGTGACTGATTCTTCATTGACACGTTTCCCTGTCAATGAGTTGTTGTTTGGCTGACCGCTATGAATGAGCGCTCGTGTTGCGAACGTAGTTCCTAATTTAGGGGCTAGCCTCGATCCAGAGTGAAGAATGCCAACGCGGCAGACAGGAGTAGCACAAACAAGGGCAGTCCTCAGCATACTCGACATAGTGCAGGTCCGAGTGTCAAATCGTTTAAAACGAAGAACGGTATTATACACACATGGTACGAGCGCACAAGTCGGCCTCTTATGTTAGCTGCACCCCGTATGGCTCCGACTCGCATCCGAGACAGTCCGTGACCCGGCTTTAAGAAGGTCCAAAAAGGTCCAAAATCCTGTGCTCCTGTGCTCCGAGTTTCACTTGATTTTGATACTTCGCATTTGAGAGACATAACTACTGAAGCTGAAGAATTATTATATTCTCCAGTGAACGTTCGATCGCCGTACAAAAATCGTCGCTCTTACGTCATTATGCCAGAACAACTTCACGTGATCAGATAGCCTACAGAATGGTGACATTATGCCTGCAGGCACTCTGACTCATCAAGCACGCCACTGTACAAACCGGAATAACCGTCGGAGAATATTAATAGATGCACACAGCTTTTCAGTATATTTGATAGACCGAACTGAGCCTTGACTCGGACGCTCAAGGGAAGCTTCAAGTCCAGACTCTCCACTGAGTTGTAAGATTTACTCCCACCGCAGCACCGCAAATGTCGTGGGCTAGAAACGTGTGGCAGAAACACGAGGATACATTTACATTTGATCCACGCAGTCATTTCAAGACAGGATTTTGTCATGAACATGCGCATCACAATGGAAGTTTCATTGATCAGGGGAAGCATACATACCCGTGTCAAATGGAGCTTAGAGGCGCCAGAGCTATCCAGTGTGCCTGTTCAGTATCTGTACTTGCCCTAGTTTTACAGTGGAAATGCAACTTGACAATGTGAGAAAGCGTCTACAACGGATTTAAAAAGGCACTACAGACACTTCTTTGAGATGTTGGTCTCGTCGTGATCATAAGACGGCAAGAAAATGGCCCCCAACACCAGGATCCGCTATACTGGCAATCAGGACTCCACTGTGGGACATTACCCACAACGCAAAGTGCTGTGGACAGTATAGATGCACCGAACATAAAGATACCCCATTCTGGAATTACTGGTAACGCGAATAGCATTAATGAAGAAGAAGGAAGATCTAACGTGACTTAGATCTGTAGCATTATCAGACTAAAGGGTCCACAGAGATCCAATAACGCTACTGGTATCCACGTTTGGGCCTAGTCGACTGGGTGAAAGCCGCTGGGGGTTGCTTCCTTGTTATTGAACGTAGTCGACAGGGGAGAAAACATTGAACAGATGTAGAATTCAGCGATAAAGTTCATTACCGAGACTTTAGCGGCTAGTGTCTAGGGCACTCAAGGGAATCGCCCCTGTCTAGAACACCCCGCCACCAGACGATCGCATCAGAAGATGCTGATAGTTCGCTCCATCGATAAATGGCGGCCCCATAAGGTTCCAATTCCACGATCATCCATGGATAGAAAACATGAGGTGATTCATTTCCGAGGGCGGCGACGAGTCACTTTAAAAGGATCCAAAGCTTTTTTGTTTTGAGTTAGCGGCGCGGAACAAGAGGGATGAACACACTTTAATGGTTGTATCCATGACGAAACATGAACATACTAGCAATGCAGTGTGATCATGGGAGATCCGGACCTGTTTGTGTAAATCATATAATTAATTCTGGTCAAGAAGCGCTTGAACACAACATAGTTTGAGAGCACGAAAGGGGACCAACGAGGCGTCGCTAACTCAGAATCCTGCAGGAAAACGCGTTGATCCATCGAAAGCACAGGTATAAAGACGTAGTGGGATCTGGGACTAAGCCCACAGGGTATATCAGGCGCAAAAAGGCATATTTCATCTCGAGGAGCCTGGAATTCACAGAAGTGAGCGACGTCATGAGATCGTTTGAAGCAAAGAACAAGAAGTAGCTTACTGCTTGAGTGGTAAGTCGGAACTGAGCAAAGCTGGTGCACAGCTAAAAAAACAAGAGGCGGAAGCGTGGTTGCCTCCCGGATCCGTAAAGTCGGGTTCGCATGGCAATGATGGATGATGTTGAGGACCCAAGTTTGGACATTGTGGACGATTTCAACGTGTTTCTGAAAGATAGCTTGCATCTGACGGAGTGTAACAAACGAAGCAGCTGACTGAGACATAAGGAAACACAAGGCTACCAAGGGGTATCGAAAAAGGAATCAAGGGCTGACAGGTGTTGGACAGGCTCCATGCCAGTTCAAGGCTTGTGGCTTCGATCCAAGTCGAAGGCCTGATCTGCCGGTTCAATTTTCTACTTTCCTTCCGGCTACATAAAAAGGCTTAACCTTTCACCAACGACCCAATCTTTCTTCCTTTTCACTCGCAGCGGCTGGTTTTTTTTCTAGCGGATGTGTGCTTAAGCATCGATGGAAAACGTAGCGCAGTATAGTAATTCACTTGTCTACCCATCATCCAGCACACCTGGCACACGCTCACACGAGGATGATAATCCTGTAAACGCGTCTTCCGCCTGGTTATCTGGGCAGAGGTCTGCTTCAAACTCTTCTACGAGTTCCACCCAGCTATCCTCCATTTATTCCGCGGTGGATCGTCCTCCAGATCACGGAGATTATGCTTCTACATCCACATCGTATGGGCAAGTGCAGCCCAACGACTCTTATTCCAATTATTCTCAACCATCCAACATTCGCCCCGAAGATGATGGAAATCACTCCGCGACAATCGCTCTTTCTCCCCAAATTTCGGGTAGCATCGGCCCTTCTAGGCTCACGCGCCGACAGACACGCGCACAATCCACCCTTCACCTTGGTCTCAGAAGAGACAGACCACCTGCGCTGTCAAATGCACAGTCTGATTTACACGGGGCTGATGAGGTACGTCATAACTCGTGCTTCTCTCATCATCTCAGTTAGCTCATCACCTCCTTTACTAGTCTCCCTACTACATGTCACCGGGGAGTGCCGTTTCGCGCCCTCAGACACCTGCAAGCAGTAGTGACCCAAATCGCTACCAGCTGCCTGACAGAATGTCTTTCACAATGGGCTCGGGTGGTATGCCCTTGCAATCACCTCGGTACCTGAGCACGCCTGTGTCAGCATCACCTTATTCCCCCTTTCCCATATATCACCAGCATTCACGTTCGGCATCATCTTACTCTACCTCTAATCCACGCTCAGCTTCTCCCGCGTTAAGCGTCGCATCTGCACTCACATCCATTTCATCCGCTACCTCCGCCCCCAACTCTCAGACCTTCCCAGCCTTCCCTCTTCCTTCACCCCCAGGCGCTGTCATCCCACGTGCCAAGCAACGAAAGCAACGTCTTTTTAACGTTGACCGTAAGGCCATCTGTATCTACCACCAAGACAACCCCAATGCACGGCAGGAAGATATCGCAGCGCGGTATGGTGTTGAGCGCAGCACCATCAGCAAAATTCTGAAAAATAAAACAAAATGGATGAATGTCCCAGAGGATGAAGATATGCGTGTGGCCAAGCATAGGTAACGATCCCCTTTGTCTAGTCTTTCCTAAATCTCACTTGTATTCAGGCCTTCAAAATTCCCCGAGGTCGAAGAGGCGCTCGTCGAGTGGCTACTTCAAATGAAGCAGCAGCAACAAAACACACTACTTTCCGATAACCTCATTCGCACAAAGGCCAAGGAAACTGCTCGCAGTTTGCAGATCCCTGACGAGAGATTCAAAGCTAGTTCGGGATGGGTCGAGAACTTCAAGCATCGCCATAACATTCGTAAGGGCGTCTGGCAAGGTCACGAGAAGGTTCTACGGGCTTCTCGTGGCCTTGTGGGTGCCCAAGAGCACAGGCGTGGCGCCACAGATACAGTGCTTTCGCCCCTCAATCCTGCATTCGAGGGTCGCTCTGAGGCCGCGAATGGACGCGATTCCGAAGAGCATTCTACGATGGCTGATGGCGATGATGACATGGAATCAGAAGATGAGCCAGATGTTCCGCATCCTCTACAATCGCAAAGCGACACTGGGCCTTCTTTGTCCCAAGCACCGCTGGGACCTACTCTCCCCTTACCACGCATGTGGGCTCTACAAACAGATCATCTAACCACTCCCAACACGCCACTTTCTGCGGCACCGGGCAATGCTCACGAACCCATATCCCATCAGTCCTTTGTACATCAACGCCACGAAGAACGGCAGCCAGACCCGGTCGTAGCGGACATGAATTTATCCGCTCTTCCAAATCCTGTGCAGCAGCACCTTCAGGTGACAGACCCACAGCAAGGGGTACAGCTCACGCACCCAGTTCCCAGTTCCCAATATACTGAACCGACTGTTGTATACCAATCCGCGCCGCCTATTACAGCGGGCGATACTATTGCTAATATCGGAGAAGCCGAGGATGCCATTAACAAAGTCATAGGCTTTGTCGACTCTCGTCCTAATCTCCTGTCTCAGACACAGCGAGATATTCTCCACGAGATTAAATGCACACTCTTCCAACTCGGAAGTGGAGTGCCGTTTGACCGTAACTGGAGATAATACCGGACGCCCATCGATGGTTCCTTCACTCCGCACGCTTGGATCAACATCCCACAATCCACGTGCAAATTTTTTTTCTTGCCTTACCTCTCACCAGTTTTCTACATGCATTTAATCATCTTCCCATGCCTTGCATTCCCCCGACATTGCACGATCGCATCAACATTTTACATGTCTCTCGTAGGGTCCCATTCGTGTCTGCATTTACACTCGGTACATACTCGTAGCGCATGTCATACCTCGCATTTGATACATCTCTCCTGCATCCACCTAGCTCTTCTTGGACTCTCTGCTGTTTCACCTATCTCATTTGCAATGCAGAGGCATTAAGTTGTCTGTGTACTATTGCTTGATTGTCATACTTTGCAATTGTTTATACCTTGCAATGTTCAAGCTAAGCATGCTATAGTCATTTATAATATACTGTCGTCCATCAACCCTCTCCGTGGCGCTGCTTGATATCAGGTCACTCTCAAATGACATGCGAACTGCGTCTGTCGATTGGCCACGCGGAGCACTATTTTCCCGACGGAATGCTCGAGGGTCAAATCCGTAAAATCACAGCTGAATTATTTTTGGGGTATATAAGTACAGTTCGTAAAATATTCGTGGGCAACGCACCAGTAACAGCACACGGACTGTCAAGACTTAGAGACTTTTCCACCTGGAGTTACCTTGGGTGGTTCGCTGTGCGGAATATAGGTAAATCCAAATTATGCGTATGCGGGACTATCAGCCATACGTATCAACGGCATTTTTCATGATCGTGAGTTTGCCGGCTGATGCAGCAGATACCATTTGCTGTTCGATGGATTTGTTTATCTTGGCCGTCAGTGACTACGTATCCAGTATAACGATCAATGAAACTTGTAATTCATTAGAAGACGAAGACTCACCTGCCTCATGGAAGCCTGCTTGACCAGTGCGGTCTTTTTGGGTGGAATGTACCGTTTCCCTTTTTTCGGGTTGGCAGCGGCCTTAGCAGCTTGCCTTGATGATGATGCCTTGCTCTGAAGACCCTTTGTTTTGCCCTGGACCATTGATGATAAGATGCGTGCTTTCGCGTTGAGTTATGTCAAAGTTATGTGTGGACTTACATATCGGGTCGACATAAATCACACCACCGGAAAATTCCGGTTAGCTTTCCTCCGCACTAGCTTGCGGGTCAGTCTGCTATTTCCATCGTTCGCGATAGCTATGTTCTCAGCATCCCATGTTCTACGCGTCCAGCGCGTAGCTGTATCACGCGGGAAGGTCAGCGTACCTTCAAAGTGTTCTTATTGACTTGTGGCGACTGAGTTGACTTTGCAGCGTGCTTTGCATGACTTGGTGACGCTTCCTGACCGTAAACCAATCGTTTCGTCCGGAACACCTGGCTACAGTGCAGTGAGCGGCCACGTTGTCACTGTCTTTGGCTGCACTGGATTTCTCGGACGTTATCTCGTCTCGAAACTCGGTAAGCTTAATTTGGCTCAGTTGAAGGTTTTGGCGTCTACAACACTCCACTTTACAGCTCGAATGGGTACGCAGGTCATCGTGCCTTACCGCGAAGAGGACGAGAAGAGGCACCTCAAGCCAATGGGCGACCTCGGCCAGATAGTCTCCATGGTAGTGTTGCATCTGCTTCCATCTCCCAATCATGACAATCTTAAATTCATTCAAGGAATGGGATATCCGGAATGAAGAACAAATTGCTGAGTGCTTAAGGCATTCCGACATTGTTTACAACCTTGTCGGCCGAGAATATGAAACAAAGTATATTTTGAATTTAATATCCTTTTTCAACCCACGCACTCACTCCACTCGAATCATCTCAGGAACTTTAAATACTCTGACGTTCATGTTGGCGGAGCGGAGAGGATTGCAAAAATCGCGGCACAAGCAGGAGTACCACGCCTAGTACATGTTTCTCACCTGAATGCTTCGACATCTTCCACGTCGCATTTCTACCGGACTAAAGCTGAGGGTGAAGAACGGGTCAGGGATGCATTCCCCGCTGCCACTATTGTCCGCCCTGGCCAAATGTATGGCTGCGAAGACAAGTTTTTGAATAACATGGCTAGTGGGTCTTGGACTTCCGCTTCATCGTTTACCCGTTGATCAGACTAATGTGTCAAGGTTGGCCTATCTGGTGGAAGCTCAACCACGGAGAAACCAAAATTCGACCAGTTCACGTAAATCTCGACCCTGTCATGGTCACGACCTTCTCAAACTGATCGTGGGTTGACAGGTTCTGGATGTTGCTCAAGCTTTAACCAATCTGATGACGATCCCTCAATTTGCCGGCACTATTTCCCTTCCTGGACCGAGGACGTTGACGACGGAGTACTTGTTAGACATGGTGTCTTCCTTGACTTATACCCCACCATCGAGTGCACCTGTGCTACCCAAGTCTCTTGCGTTGGCGCTTGCCAAGGTTGCTCAGGCACCGTGGTGGCCGCTCATTAGTCCTGATGAGGTGGAGAGGCGCTACATAGATGACGTGGATGTTCCAGGCGATTGGGAAGCGGTAGGCGTGACTCCTGACGAGATCGAGAACCATGCGATCACGTACCTACGAAGGTATCGTTCGGCGTACGTATCTTGTCGACTACGCGTTACCCGAGGAACTAAATTTCCCTTTTGCCTTGTAGAGAGAACTTCGTGCGACCGGTGGTTTTCCCTGCGCGGTCCAGCTAGGCGAATGTCATCTCCGACGCTAACGATTTGTGGCGACCGTAGGATATATAGAGTCATATCGGATCTTCATGGGCGTTGCTAATTGTTCCATACTGGAGCGATAAATGATTTCATGAAAGCGTTGCTATGATGCATTAGCACAAGTGAACCTGTGAACCTATTCACATGACGCTGGGCACAGGCTAAGAAGTCGCTTAAATGCCACCTGAACCCAGGTGAAACGAAAGCATACGTGCGTGAACTGCTTAATGAACTGAGTAGAATTTTATTATAGCATGATCAAATGACACGTGGGAGATGCATTAATATTCGCTGCAACACACGACGCGTGTTTCTGCCGGCGTGGACGCGGATACTGCGGAATGCGAGAGAAGTATGTATAAGGTACACGTGTGCATAAAGTATCTGAATACTTGTAACTGCTGGCAAGCTGAAAGAACAGCCTTCGAAACGATGCTGACTTTTGATCAGAAGCCGGGCGGAACGATACCCTTTTGAGGTGCCTGATTTGAGCCGGGTTGTGGTGGATAAGCTGATCCTGGCGAAAGCATCTATAAGAAACGAAGCATCAAGAATCAGCAAACAAGCCATATCAAAGTGACGGAAGAAGATCAACTGTCCAGAAACTTACCTGCTGAGCACCCTGTTGCTGCGCCATCATTTCGCGTTCTTGCGCTACGATCTTTGCCTCATCTTCCAAACTCAGCGCAAGGGGGAGCCCTACGAGGAGGGCGGAAGTGGTGACTATCCAAACGATGTTACCAATGACTTTTCCGCTGGTCTTGACGAACGACACAGCTTTTGAAACCTTGGTAGAGATATTGTGTCTGGTAGTTGGAGGCACTATGTCTACCAGTGCGCTTATGCGGTCATACAAGTTTTCTTCTGCAGAAAGTTCTGAAGAAACTGAAGAGATTGATTCTTGAGAAGAATGACGGGACGATGAGGTTGAAGCATAAGGAGAGTTGCCTGAAGACTGTGGGTCTTTTTCTTCTACGATCTCGACCTTGACCATGGTTTGAACACAACGTGAGCAACGACTAAAAAATTGTAGCCGACGTGAGAGTCTGGACTTCGGTGCCGGCAATGCCTTGATCGGAGTTTGTATTACATTTGTCATAATCTGTCTTGTCCAAAAACGAAACCTTTCTTGCCGAATCAACAGAATTTGTAGCTAAACTCAGTTCTGAAAAGGGAACATTATCCGATTGGGAATTTCGTTGTCAATATCCCTATTGCGGGGGAATTATGACTTATGGTATTATAAGTACAAGGATGGCCCAATATAAACGATTCCTCTTTGTCCCTCCTGTTATTTCTTCTTAATTATATCAGTCTACACCGCCGCATCATAATATGCAGAACGGCGACCATGTTCGCAATGACAACGGTCACTCCTTCTCGCATCCTGGTAAGTACGGTTTGAATCGATTAAGTCTCACTTCTCACGACGTCACACCTCCCCAAGGCCTCATTCTCCCAACTCAATCTGTTCAGAATCAGATCCATGAGTTAGCGAAGACCCTTCCGCCTCCAAGAAAGCAAAACACCGCGTGTGATGCCTGCAGGTCTGTGCAGCATGCTGGTGATCGGCGTCTACGAACTTATTCATTCCCATCACTGCAGGTCCCGAAAGGTCAAATGCAATAGACTTCCTGGCGAAGACAAGGTAAGTAATATTTAAGCGATACTGTCTTCAATCGTCTGACTCACTCTCCATTATTCCAGTGCCAGGTAATTACATTTTTCCTTATATGCTTGACTACAAAATGCTGAAGATAAACGCCAGCACTGCTTGTCCAAGAATTATCCTTGCACGTCAGTAATTCTCTATATTTAATTGTTGAGCCGTGAGCCGACCCGTTCTTTAGCCATTTCGTTCAACAAGCGACCAGCGAAAAGAAGCGTAGCGCTGCCGCTCGGAGGCCGAGAAATATATCAACAAGCTCAAGGTTAGCTTTGGGCACTCCTATCTCGTCTCGCTTATTCACTGTGTCTCTGATATTCGATTGTCGATCTGTCTGTCATTTCGCTATTTCTGCGCGATCTTCGTCGCTGCCGCCGCCTTGCATGCCCGTCATCCAGCACCTCTCCTGTATCTGCTAGGTACGCACACTACAGTTTTTTCGATTTATCATCTAACATCAGTAGTTCATCGCCCATCGCTGAACATAATACTCCCCCCTGGCTTAAAGCCGCATTTGGTCCATGGAATTCAGGGCGCCTGCAAAGTTATGGTGGTCTCAACATGCAATCCACTACTCCAACGCTTCTTCATCACCTGTTTGCTGCGCCGGAAAGGTAGATACTGTATTCTATTTCCACCGCCTGGCTGACTTATCCCCTCACGTCAGCGACTCCACATTTATGTTCAAATCACGATCACCAGGCTACGCCACATGGGGAGACATGGCATCCAAACTTGAAGACGAAGCCTTCCGAGCAGAGTACGTTGCATTTACCCCTTTCCTCTTACATTACGTAAACGATCGAAATTATCGCGGTGTACGTCAAGTGTTATCTTGTTTCATGATGGTTACTGAAGAGCCTCTTCTAAGTGGCTTTACTGTTCCTTTTCATTTGCCGTATCGATCCATCCCTAATAAGCTGTTACTGATACATCTGGCTCTGCTTCTGATGACAGGTTCGCCCTTGACCTTGTTGAAGTTTATTTCCAGATAGTCCATACTCGTCTTCCTCTTCTCAACCCCTTGCAGTTTCGCGCGCGGTTAAATCTCCAGGCGACTCAACAAAGGCCAGTGATTGCAAAGCAGGACGAACCATTACACCCAGCCCTTATCGCAACAGTGCTTGCCTGGGGTGCAAAATTCTCCGAACATCCCCTTCTGGTGGCGGATCGCGAAAGAAATGGTGGGCAAAGCCTGCTCGCTAAAGCACTCATCAACCGCACCCGAGAGTTGGCCGAGTCATTAAAAGTGCACCGCATACCAAACCCACATCATGTCGTCATCTCGTTGCTCATCGAACCTCTGCAATGTCGTACGTATTTTATTTCGCTGTCTTTGCGTTTACTCATCATTATGCAACAGAGGATCCACGACATGACAACGGTAATATTGACCTAATTGTTCTCACTGCTCCGGCTGACAGGGAGCAGGCTTCCACGGGTTCTGGCTCACCAGCGGAATACGTAACTTACTTGGATTGCAGGTAAGTAGACTGATTACCTTCCAAAGAACCATTCTAAGAAAATTATTTGAAGATCAATCACAAATCCGTGATGGGGCTTATCAAAGATCCCGAGGCGCGCGGTACCATGATTTTCGCTTGGTGGATGGCTTGTCTGTCGGATGCATTCTCCTCGTTTTATTACCGCCGGAAGCCTATGCTGTAAGTTTAAGGAGATGTTTTCTCTATCGAACACTAATATCCGCCCATGTAGTGATGACGACGACTATGACATCGACTTCTACACCGCTGATCAGAATACCCAGGAGACCACCGACCCCACGGCTCCATCCCCTAGAGAACAACTTGAGGTGAGATTCAAGATCGTGTTCTGCGAAACTCATACTTACGTCATGCTTAGTTTTTGGTCGGTAAACTCTGAACGGTGCCTTTAGATGTGTACTTACACTTTATCAGGGGTACTACCGAGCTGCACACGCCCTTGCTCGGATCTCCCGGACAATTGCACGCCAACTCTGGAGACCATCTACAGATCAAGACGGCATTCCCCTTGATTCCGTCCTGTCGTACATCTCGGACCTAAGTAAATGGAGAGATGCTCATTTGTCCAAGGTCGGTGTGCCACCTAATTTGGAGGCTAATTGGGATTTCGTATCTGCGGTCTCTGCATGTAAGTTGTCGATATCTCATTATTGCGTTGAGTCTACTGAACTAGTCTTCAGGTGCAAGCGATGCTCAGTATCACGTCACCTGGGTAGCCCTTTTCTTTGCGATGGATGAGTTTGGGATCCGCGACGACGCTTTCACGCCAAGTAATATCAATCAGGTGGAGACTGCAAAACGTAGAGTCATGGAAGAAGCTCTGCAAGCTTCTTTGCGCATCGCGGCGCTCGTAAGTGACCGCAGTTTGGTAAATTGCCACCGCTTAATTTTTTTTCCAAGGCTGGAGTACTTACTTCAAATGGCTACTTGGTACGCTTATCTTTAGAAGTGCCACTGTATCAACTAACTTCGTTCAGAAACTGGATCCTGCGGTCATGCATGTCAGTTGTATCAATGCAGGAAATTTACTTGCTCGGCTGGGTCGTCCCGAAGTGCTTCAGTGCATCAAGGCGTTGGAACAATACAGCTATGCTTATGAAGAGACGAAGGAACATGCACTGGATATCAGCCGCGAGTATGAAATTGCGCTGCTAAAGGGTCCGAATAATTTCCAAGAAATGGCTAGCGCTATCAACCCATCTTCTCGTGCCTTCCACGCAGACACCATGAGCGTCGACGCACTAACCAACGGCAACGGCAAGCACCATGGAAATACGGTGAGCCCCGTTTTTAATTCCCGAGGCGATAGGCTCATGTATGATGCGCCAGTACATGTCGATTTAAAGCGTTATTCTAGGCTTTACAAGTCCTTTATTATTTTCGTCTTCACAGATCAGTTACTTGCTATCCCCCAAGCCCTCGCCCGTGACGGGCTGTTGATTACTCTCTTCCCAGCCCTTCCTGCATACATATGGACTCACATTTTCGATTATGTAGTTATTCGAACCTCCCGAGTGGTTTTATCATGTTGTCTAAATAGTACGATGTACTGTAGCAGGATATACTCCAGATAGTGATACCCTTTACCCCAGGCGGACGCTCTTGACAACTTTGGATATACCAGACTGCTCGCCTGTATATTTTGAGGCATCGCCGATACCACCTTTGTAAACAGCACGCTGTGATGACACCCTTTTTTTGGCTTGCTCGTATTTTTGGCGTTTTTTGACACGGGGATTGCGTACACTCTTTGATCTGTGTGGCGTTAGTCCCTTATTTTTCATGATGGCCCGCGTGACCGAGCGCGGGCCAGATGCCGCATCATGGTCATCAAAGACAAGTCTATGTGGATCAGATCAGAAAGTCCCGTGATATATAAAAATTGGAGCTTACCGCTCGGCCGCCCGAGCCTCCTCATAGTCTATCTTTTTCTTGCTCTTCTTGTCCGCGGCCTGTCGTTTTACGAGCTCGTAATACCCATGTGCTGCAGCCGTGTCGCTATCATCATCATCCTCGATATCAACATCTCTCCGTCTCTTTTTGCTGCGGCTGCTTGCGTCATTGATTTCGGGATCTACATCATCCAGGTCATCTCCGCCCATCCCCAGTGTTCCAGCTTTTCGTTGCTGCTCTTTCTCCATTCTCTGCTCCTTTTCTTTCCTTCGTTCGCGGTAAGGAATGTCGTCGTCACCGCCCACTGCATTGACACGAGCGTTCTGGCGCCGCGCAGTAGCGCTTTCAATGCGTGACACATGGAAACGCAAACTCTTCTTGTGCGCTTGCTTGTCGGTGGCATCGACGTGTTGTAGGAACGTGGCTTCGCCGAATGCGTCTGTGCTACTGGTGTCAGCGGGGGCCGAACGCTTCTTCTTTGCGGAAGTCGAGGCGGCCTCAAAGTCTGGCTCGACAAGGTCGAAGATTGGTTGTCTATTTTTATCATCAGAAGTTTTGCGTTTTTTCTTGGGAGGTTTGAGTTCGATCTTGTCCTTCTCGGATGCCTTTCTCGGTTCCTCATCGGCGTCCATCAACAGATTTGTGACCTCATCAGATTCGAGACCCTGTGTCATCAGGATGCTCCACAAGTCAGGTGTCTCAGGTCCTGGTTCGCCGTATTCGTCTTCGTACTTGTCATCTTCGTCATCTTCGTCCTGCGAGTCAGTGCCAACGCCCAAATTTTCTAGCGTGACGAGTGATTGCTTGAGAGTGAGCAAGCGATTCAGGACAGGGTGCTGCCTCAGGAGCAGAGGACGACCTGCATATTTCTCCGACGATCGAAGGTGAAGATAATACGCGAGGGTAGTAGCATAGGTCAGGAGAGCCTCTGTAATATATAAAAGGAACTGGTTGGTCAGAAATCTTAATAAAGCACGAGTAAAATAAACCGGAGGAGAGAACTGACGATAATATATGTGCAGAAGTCCGAGTTCAGTTCCGTCGGTTTCTTTCTCCGATATTCTAAACAAAGATTGAGCATGAATGTTGGAAAGCAGTAATATGAAAACTCACGCAGCAATTTTTGCTTGCATTTCGATGAGATTACGGGCCGTATCATCCCAGTCACGGGCCAAGGCAAGAGCTTCTGGATTTTCTCTTTCCAGGTGCTGCAAGACGGCCTTCTTGTCATTCAGGGATACGTCAATTGTGGGCCGTGATTGTTCCTCTAACGAATCTCTGAAAACAATGTAAGCCGCTGGTAACAGACGAATGATACCACATACTCAACCTCAGCATCGGATTCTGGCTCAAGACCTTCACCCAATCCAAAATCGTCCTCATGAATAGCATCTCGAGCCTTCACCTGCAGTCTACGGGCTTCTTGTTCTTCCAGTTCATTTGCTTCCTCATCTTCCGAGTCGATCTGGGCAGCATTGGAGGAGTAATACGCTGACTTGCTTCGACCCCAGGATTCATCCTCAGATCCAGTATCTGAAGGAGATGATGCCTTCTTCAGCTTGGTCTTGGTTTTTGTTTTGCTCTTGGTGACAACTGGGTCTTCGTCGTCATCTTCATCTTCAGCATGCGCAAGTCCGTCCTCGTCGTCTTCTTCAACCTCTTCTGAATCCTCGTCTGATACCCCTTCAAGAACAAAAACTTCGTCTTCATCCCCATCTTCATCCTCGACATCTCCGTCTCCATTCAAAAGGATTTTATCCCTGGACGCATGAACTAGGATGATGATTTTCAACAACATGAAATCATTGTCGGGGTATGAGAACGTACATTGGTCGTCTTCGTCTAACTCAATATCAGAAGCTTTATTCCACCGTTTTATTTTGCTGTCCTTGCGATCGACTGGCCGCGGCTTCGAGCGGGAGTTACCCTTACCGGATGGGCGACGGCGAGGCATACTTGGTAGGACTTTGAGGTTTGTCAGACACCATGAAAAATAAATCCAAAATTAGCAAACCGGCAATAAGCTTAACTGAGATAAGATAAGATTACAAGCTTCCTCTTCAAATTTTCAAACGTGGACATGACGGAAGTCATAAGTGATACCGTCACTCTAACTGGTAGAAGCCTAAATGCCTGTGTGTTCAGCGCTCAACGCCAACCCCCACCCTACGAGCACCGTGCTGGAAAATTGGTACAAAGACTTCGTGCACTTTTCAATTAACGTAAGTTTTCTGAATCATTTGATTGTCATTTTCGTCTCATCTTGTATTGGCACTTGGCCAATACATTGAAAATTCGTTGGGCTGCTACTCATCCTAAGGATGAAATGGTGCTTACGCATATCAATCCTGTGTTAATAACGCTGGCGGTTCCGCAGCCCATTTGGTCACTAGAAGGCGCCGCCGAATCCTGAATGTTTCTATCGATATCATTGCGTTCGGACGCGTCGTGCAGATGCTATTCCATTTCCTGGAGCCCGCTGACTAGTGAAGGCGGCACTCTTTGTGTTATTTTTTCTTTACAGTGTGTTCTTTAGACTGACAACTCCACTGCATCCCGGACATTGTTAATGTACCTGTAGCCTATTTCGTTTCCTTCAGCACATCATCCGAGCCACCCACAACATATGAACGATCGAGCGCATCATTTAGATTTTCTCCGACCAAACGAAAGGGAAATTATATTCATCAGACTCTAACAATGCAAACCAACAACTAATTTGCACAGACCTTGGTCTCCCAATATGCAAGATGTGATCCGTCATCTAGCAGATGTTACAGTATGTGCTTCCTCCTTCGCTTACTATAACTCCAGCTCTCAATCTAGCCGACAGCTGATGTTCTTCCCGCACTACAGCCGCCAGCTCATTCAGATTCCATAGACACCTACCGCCACCTGCACCCGTGCACTGCTTTGCTGCACCTTACCCCCTGCTAAGCTTTTTTTCTATCTTTCTTTATTATTCTTTGCCATCCCGCACCATTTCCCTTTCCTTGCAACTTTGTTGCCACCTCTCGTAGCATCTTAAACCTTCTTTCGTCCGTTTTGACTAATGGCACCTCAGCCAGTCCCCACGGTACCTTCATATCACCTTCTTTCCCCCTCCGACCGACGGCGACCGCATTCAAACGCTCTTGTACTCCGCACTATACTGATTTCCCAGCGTGCTTGGCTGCTTGGCCCCCCGCTTTGCGTCCGAACACAGCCCCAGCAGTCAGTCCGCTACCTCCGGGGTAGTTGTTATGAAACAAACCACCAACCATCTCCCCCGTGCAGAAAAGGCCTTTTATTGGGGCATCTGTCTCTTTTGACAGCACGCTAGCGGTATCCGGATCTATAGCGAGCCCACCGAAAGTAAAGGTGATACCACATGCGACTTTTACCGCCAGGAAAGGTCCCTGATCGATCGGCAGGGCCCAATTTGACTTTGGAAGTTGCAGCGCTACCTTGGTAGACTGAGTCGAGAGTCCATCTTTGATCGTGGGGTCCCATCCAAGAGTTGAGTGTTCAGCGCGATGATTTTGGACTGCCGCATTGTAATTGCGCACTGTCTTGAGAAAACACTCTTTGTCCTTGAGCCCTTTCTCAAGTAGCTTGTCTGCAAGTTCCTCCATGTTCCCAGCAAAGATCTTCTCGACAATCTCATCCCCATATTCCTCCTTCCGGAGAAATGGAATCATGTCCGCACCCCACACTTGGAATGCACATCCTTCCGGTTGGAGAAGAATTTGTCGCCCAAACTTGGCATATGTAAAATTTCTGAAATCCTGCCCTTCATCGACGAAGCGTTGGCCGTAGATGTTAACCATGATACCCAAAGGATACCCTGACTTCGTGAATTGATTACTGAGCTCCCTGTCGCCTGCGTCTGCTGGTGCATTTGCATCCCAACACGTGCTGTGACATCCTGCCCAATCTCCAGCAAATTTTGCACCAACAGCTTGGGCCATGGCAAAGCCATCACCCGTATTGAAAGGAGTGCCCCTGACCTGCACGTTATTTCAGTTGTTATACGGAGGGTTCCTCGAGCAATTGTTACCACTTACGCGTGCCTTTTCCCATTCAGAACCGAGATGTTTAGCCCGGAGCTCTGAGCTAGATTCATAACCTCCTGCTGCCAGCACTACCGAAGAGGCTGAAAGATTCAATTCCTTGCCGTCTATCTGAACCACAAGACCCGTTATTGTTCCTTTCTCAACCCTGAGCCTGACGGCAGGAGACTCGAACCAAATCTCCACTCCGACCCTTTCTAGTGCCTTCATATGGGCCTTAATTAACCCCTTTCCGCCATCCTCAGTACTGAGTGCCATACCACCCCAGAATTTTTGCCTCCCATTCACCTCGTATGCTTGGCGGTGGAACGACAGAATGAACGGAATATCTATTATCCGCGCAAGCCATTCCACCGCTTCTCTCGAGGATTCCACCATGGACCTCACCAGCTTAGCGTCTGGCTTATCTTGGCCAAGGCGCTTAATATCCCCGATGAAGTCCTCGACAGTGTAGGGATCCATATCGATCTTGGATGCCTGCTCTGGCGTGACATTGCGCACGATTGGGAGAAGATCTTGTAATCCCCCGTGGACTGTTCTATGCGCACCTGCTGTGAAGTAGCCGTTGCCGCCGACCCAATCGTGTGGGGCTTTCTCGACGATAAGGACAGAGGTACAACCTGCCTCAACAGCGGCAAGGGCTGCCGAGCAACCTGCATGGCCGCTCCCGACCACGATGCAATCGTAATGTGTAGACATTCAGATGATATCAGACAATAAAGAGGGCCTTCACCCCCTTTGTGTTAAGTGTAAGTGCGAGCGTTTTCAAATACATTCAACGTGCATCACTCTTCATTGGCGTAGTAAGTCACGCTGGACACACGGCCGCCTTGCGCTGAACATGTGAGTACTCAGAGTCGCCGGATTAGGGGGTGCATCGCTTCACGTAGCCACTGCAACATTAAATGCTACTAGTACATAGCTTCCTTGATGAAAATGGATATTACACTCTGGCAGGATTCACAGCCAAGCATCCACCATCAATAACGAGTTCCTGCCCATTCATATAAGCCCCAGCAGGCGATGCAAGGTAAACGGCGGTGCCTGCCATCTCAGCGGCGCTGTTACATTTTCCTGTCAGTGAACGCCCTGGCTCACGAATCAATCTTCACTCACGTTCCTGGCCTTTTCGCTGGTATGGATAACACCGGCATACCAACCGCATCAGTTGCCGCTTGTCCTGAAATCGCATCGTATGTCATCTCGCTTTCATACACACCTGGCGCAATAGCGTTCACTCGAACATTGATTCCTTTGAGAGCAAATTCAGTCGAAAGCATCCTGGTGAGGTGAGACCCAGCAGCTTTTGAGCTGTTGTAGCAGAACTTGTGCACCAAAGTCAGCGATGATACACGAAATTGAAGCTGAGTTCGCTCACATGTCTCTGTGCAACCTTGATGAGTCCGCTCATGCTCGTGATATTAATGACGCTTGAAGAGAAACCCTCTTTATCATTATTCTTGGATCCCTTGTCAAGCAAATCCAAAAACGCAACAGTCACGAAGTAGATCGAAAAGGTATTGATTGAGTAAAGGGAGCTCCATTCCTCGAACGATTCATTGTTGAAGAGGTATTCACCGAGTGGTCCGGCCTCCTTTTGAGCAGTGGTCGATGGTTGATTCAATTCATCAGAGACAGGACCTGATTGACCAGCACTTCGTTCGATCATGGTGAGTTACAAACTAATAGTGAGAGTAGGTATCGTACTTGTTTACGAGAATGTGCAGCTTTCCATCCGCTTGGGCTATTCTCGTTACACCAGCTTTAATGCTATCTTTTTTCGTTACATCCATCTCATGCCTATGGGTGGTGCTTGATCAGCCCGCAATAAACGCAGAAACAGTGGATCTTACGCTATCATAGGTCCCATGTCGTCTCCCTTAGTTGCATTCCACTCCGAAACCACTCCGTCAAGGACCTCCTTTCGTCGACCAGTGATATACACCTTGGCCCCATTGGCAGCGAGGCCACGAGCAATCATAAGACCGATGCCTGTGCCGCCACCGGTCACCAGTGCGATCAGGCCATTGAGATCGTATAACTTCTTCAGCGTAAAATTTTCAGGCATAGACATGGTGGGAGAGACAGACTAGTAGTACTTGATTGAGATGCACGGTTCTCAAAAGACTGGCGAAATGAACAGGTCCGTAGTGTCACAAGACCAAAGCTGACTGCATAAATAGAACTGCACCCCCCAATCAGGCGGGAATCATATGTGTGTGGCAGGAGTCTATATGTGCTTGGATGTTACATAGACAGACTCTGAATGTGAAATCAGACAGGTATTCATTCAATGAACTTTGACTCACAGGTGGATCCTTCGTATGTAGGTCACGTTGCAGAATTCAAACTGTCTCAGAGTCTCTAAGGCATGTGGGACCCCGGCTACTGGTGTGAAAGGCTGGCCTGCAAAGAAGAGTAGATTGCTCATACTTCCAACGCTTCATCAGGTAGTGACAAATCTCCAAATGACCTGTCCAGCGACCACCATCGTGGTCAGAACCTTCATGGTAGATATTATTGCGACTTGGAAATAAGAACGACTCCAAGTCCAGGAAATGGTGCTGACTTCCGTGAACATCCGAAGCTCAACTGTGAGTGCCAGTAGCTCGCGAGTATTGGGGCCCGGGGGCAGGAAGTGATGTAAACTTGGGAGGTGTATCAAATATCTGATTTGTTGATGGCAAGAACGAGTCGCTCGAACTGCAGCTAGTCACTGAATCTATCGTGTGAGAATGTTATCGTGGAGAAGCTCGCGCAGTGCGTATCATTCCTTCAAGCCTTCAAGGAGTCCATTTACTGGTTCGCTGTGAAAATTCCTATTAGAAAGCTTGTTCAAGTTTTTAGTGCTTTCATTTTACATAATAAGCGTGTCAGTTTCAGAATCACAACGCGATGGACGATTTAGATTGCAAAGCTACGTCATAGCCATCTTCTCTGACACCCACACGAGCTGGTTCTCGTAGACGACACCGTGGGCTCCTTTGCAGGTTCCGAGGCAAGCCAATCAAGGATCCTTTCGCTTAGTCTTCTGATACTGAACCCACGGCTCCTGCTAGGCTTTGGATTCTTCACCGTCACGGTTTACTGCCCCTGCTTCCAAAGCAAATATTTGGTTTGTACGTGACTGACTTTCATGCGAAGGTCACGTCAAGTATCTTGACTTGCGCGTTCAGAACGTTCAAGGTTCGCTCGTTTCTCATTTTGATGACAGATGATCAATTCTCGATCAGGCGGACTCCGATGTTGCCGTGACCCGTCTACTCTTGAAGGTCTCGGAGGTTGATTCTTTGATCCAGGAAGAGAAGATATGAGCCAATATTCCATCCATGCCATTGATATACGGAAAGACGGCGCGACAGATGCTTGAGTGAGCAGACTTTATCACACTCCAATAATATGCTGGTGATGCCCAGTGATTTCGTACAGCTAGATTTAAGTCGTTTCGCGCATGGTACCTCATGGGATGAGTGTCGGGAACAGCAAGCTGCACTGTCCTCATGATAATGTTCCTCGCAGGTTGCGCTCTAGGTATTGGAGGGTGCATACTATGCATGGTACAACCCTTGAAGTGGTAGCATGTGTGTGCAGTCAGTAGCTAGAAATTGGCTCAACGAATCTCACGAGATCTGGCAGTATCAAGTGTACTTGAATGGTAGTTTTGTTAGACATAATTTGCTGCGTGAGAATTGATGTATCTCTTGCAAATCTATTAAAGCATCTAGGTACCACATACATGCTGAGCTGACAATCGTAAAAGGATTCAGAGGTGCTGGCCTTTCACTCATCCCTATCTTTTATTTCATCTGGCAGTTGCGACCCCAACCATATCAACGCACCAGCCAGCATAAACAAGATGACGAATACTGCATTTCCTCCGAGAAGATTATGTTCCTTTGATGCAGCAAAAAGCGAAGTCGCAAAGGCAGGCCCAACGGCACGAGCAACCGATGAGGATGTTTGACCAAGACCATTGATGGCGCCAAGCGCATTCTTTGTAGGGGCAGAAGCTGTGATAAACATCAAGAGGGTCCCTGTACTGGAGTGAATAACTTGTAACAACGAGTCAGTGTCACTGCAACACGCACCAAGTCCCATACTACATATGACTGACAGAACTAATTGGAAAAGTAAAGCAAAGGTAACTGCATAATCAACTCCCCCCCTTGCGCGTACAAGCCACGACATTATCGACAACATAACCATGAGCAATGCGTATGCCGACACTGACACACTAAATAGACGCTTTGGACCAAGCCAGTCGACAAGTTTGGCAAACAGCAATGCCTGAAAGACACCATCCATGATCCCGAACAAGGCTAGCCACGAGCCAATAGATGAAGGATCAAATCCAAGACCACCAAGGTAGGTAGGTGTCGAAAAGAACAGCGGCACGAGAGCCCTGCGAGAAATTTCAAGGAAAGCAAACATGGCATAGTTGGCAATTGGGATAACAACGGTAGGTGTGAGCAAAGATCGCAAAGAGATGTCTGCCATAGGACATTGAGGCAGTGATTCACCGCTCGAAACGTCAAGCGTGACTGATGTCAACTTTGGTCGACGCTTTGTTGGTAATGACTGCTGATCATGAGTACCGTGTGCGATGCGACAAGTATGTAGAACCTACTTCTTCTAAGAAGAATGCCATCGTGAAAAGGGCCAGAAAGAGCACACAGGCTGCTACTGCGCAAGGCAGAAAGTATGGGTAATTTCTCCAAAATGGATTGGTGAATATTACGGGCCAATGATCCTGCGGTCGCGCAAGAGTTCCTCCCATCAAAGGACTGACATGCGAATTTTACCATTTACCACCCTCATATTTAACGAGTTCACTTACCCAAGGAAGCCTCCAAGGCTCCAGACGGTCGGGATCAACGCAAAAGCCTGAGCCATATTTGAGGAGTCCGTCAATTCACCCATCATAGTCTTCATAACTCCAACGTTGCCATTTAGAAAACCGCACATGCAGCGGCTGGAGAAACTATGTCAGCAAGACGTATCCTCCTTTCAGCTGAAGACACACCTAATGACAAGACTCCAGAAGGTCGTTGAGAGGCCGAAACACAGTATCGAAATGCAAGCACCTGAGAGACCAATTACCAACACGGGCTTGCGCCCAATGCGATCAGACAACCTACTCCACCTCAGTACCGTCAGTGCCTGCGCGACGAAAAAAAGAGATTCCTGTTGAGCATATCCAAAGTAGACTATGAGGAAACCATTCTCGCAAGTCGTCATGTCGCCACCTACAATGATTCCAGCATAATATCCTACAACCGCATCGTCACCCCCAGTAATTCCAAGTTCGCTGATAAGCTAAGAGAATGAGGAAGTATAAAAAAAATGCACGTCGAAAGAGAAGTATTGTCAATCCGAAGTCATACCTGATTAATGTATGGGAATATAGACGTGGAAGTGATGCCTTCCGCGAGTTGTATCGTTAAAAGTATGCCCAACTGGAGCTTTGGAAGTGGTGTTTTAGGCTTTGGGGCCTCTGCAAGGACCAGAGGCGTAGTCTCGCTTGCTATCATACGAGGACGGAGTCCAGTGAGAGCCTTACTAGTACGAGTAGAGGCAGAAGACACTGGCAGTGAAATGTTTGAAACCGCCTTAGCTTTGAACGAACACTGGCGCCGAGTCCTGATCTGTATTTATGGCCTGCGCATTATATTATCGACGTGGTTTTGCCAGCGACATACTATATTACTGGGGAACAGGAGAAAACTCCGATCTGAGCTTGGCGCTTATACAGTTCTACAGCCTGAGACCTGCACGTGAGTACTTGAGTTCTGGCGATCAGCATGGAAACAGACAGCCAAAACATGTACCATTTTAGTCAAGCTATGGAAATTGAACAGGCAAGTCGCTTCGATGTTGTGTTGAACCACCGTGTTTAGCAAGAGGGTTGGAGATAAACTTGAAGTCAGTGACTAGTGACTAGTTGATCACCCACTCACAACCAGCGTTAAATGCCGAAGTTGAAATTTTAAATATGGGTGATGTTTCAAATCTATTAAGCTTGTTTCTCGTTCCTCCGACTTGCCGCAAAACGGAGACACGGGCCGTCTAAATGCGGGAAAAGTAGAGTCGAACTGCATGCTGGTACGAGTGGCGCTGATGCTAGGAGGACATCACATACGTCAAGACCAAAACAACTCCAGTTCTGATCAATACCGTGCGAATCGTGAAAGCCGGATGTCGAACAACTATACTGGGTCACAATGCTTTTCCGCTGCACCAGCCTGAACAGCTCAAGGTCCTCAATGAACTTCGAAGTCGATATGATATCATCTAAATCAAATACTTAAAACATGATCCAGATTCCAAACATCTGATAAATACACTCAGATGCCTACCCTGTTTTCCGGCAACTCATCAACAAATATCTGCAAAGTGATGAACATGAATCCTACGACAATGCAATCCGATATCGTTTCCTTTCGTGAATCACCTTTCACTCATCCCTGTCTTGTATTTCATCTGGCAACTGGGACGCTAGCCATCTCAATCCACCGACCAACATAATTAAGATAAAAAAAACTGCATTTCCTCCTAGAAGATTGTGTTCCTTCGATGCAGCGAAGAGCGAAGTCGCCATGGCGGGACCAACGGCACGAGCCATCGCCGCAAAAGTTTGGCCAAGGCCATTGATAGCGCCAAGGACATCATTTGTAGGAGCAGAAGCTGTAATAAACAGGGAGATAGTTCCTGCAATGGAGTGGGTTACTTGTAATGACATGAAAGTTTCATCACAACACGCACCATATGTTGTATGCCATATAACTACCATAACTAGAAGGCAAAGCAAAGCAAACGTGATTGCATGATCGACTTCCCCCCTTGCGCGTAAAATCCACGATATTATTGGAAACATAGCCATGAGTGGTGCGTAGCACGTCACTGAGACGCAGAATAAACGCTTCGGACCAATCCAATCAACGATTCTGGCGAGACATAATGCCTGAAAGACACCATCAATGATCCCAAACAATGCCATCCACGAGCCAATAGTAGCGGGATCAAATCCAAGTCCGCCAAGATAAGTAGGTGTTGAAAAGAACAGCGGCAAAAGGACCCTGAAAGAAACATCGAGGAAGGCAACCATGGCGAAGTTTGCAATCGGAATGACAACGGAAGGCGTGAGGAGAGATCGCAAGGACATGTTTCCCATTGATTTTTGAGCGAGTGATTCTCCGTCGGGACTACTTGAAACGTCAACCGTGGTTGGAGTGAAGTTCGGTCGACGCTTCGTCGATAATGTCTGCTGATCGTGAGTGATGTGTACGATATGGCAGGTATGTACAACTTACTTCGTCTAAGAACATCAACATCATGACAATGGCCAAGACGAGCAGAAAGGCTGCCACTGCACAAGGCAGAAAGTATGGATAATTTCTCCAAAATGGACCGGAGAATAATGCAGGCCAATGATCTTGTGGTCGCGCAAGCGTTCCGCCCATTAAAGGACTGACATGCGGATTTCATCATTTACCACCTCCACATTTAACGAGTCCACTTACCCAATAAAGCCTCCAAGGCTCCAGACGATCGGGACCAAGGCAAACGCTTGAGCCATATTTGTGGAGTCTGTCAATTCACCCATCATAGTCTTCATAACTCCTACATTGCCATTCAGAAAACCGCACATGCAACGACTAGGTAAACCCAGCATGTCAGCATTGGGTATCTTTTTGAGTTGAAGACACACCTGATGACAAGACTCCAGAAGGTCGTTGAGAGGCCGAAACACAGTATCGAAATGCAAGCACCTGAGAGACCGATTACCAACACGGGCTTGCGCCCAATGCGGTCAGACAGCCTACTCCACTTCAGCACCGTCAATGCCTGCGCGACGAAAAACAGAGATTCCTGCCAATCACATCTAATAAGCGAACCATTCTTGAAAGCACTTCGTAAGTCATAATCCTGGCACCTACAATGATTCCAGCGTAATATCCTACGGCCGCATCGTTGCCCCCAGTGATTCCAAGTTCACTGATCAGCTAAGAGAATGAAACAGTATCAAAGGTGTACACCAAGAAGCATTGTGATTGCAAAACTATACCTGATTGATGTACGGAAATATAGATGTCGAAGCGATGGGTTCCGCAAGTTGCAGCGTTATAAGTATGCCTATTTGAAGTTTTGGAAGGGGCGTTTTAGGTTTCTTCCAACCTTTTGCAGGTACCAGAGGCGTTGTCTCGTTTACTATGATTTCATGAGATTTGGAAGTATCCATCCTGGTGGGTCAGGGTTTGAAGGGCCAGCGAGAGCCTTGCAAGTGCAGAGGCGGATGCTCTGGTGATTTCCAACTGCATCTGTATTTATAGCCTGCCCATCATCGATATAGTTAGCTATCGAGGTAATGTATATAATAGCGAGCGACATAACTCAGAGTGAACCGATTTCTGGTACCCTGTTAATAATATTATTCAAACCTCACCGTTCGGTCCCTTCGAGTTTGTCACACCCTGTTATGACCCTGAGCTAGCTCCGAGACGGTTCCGAATCAACTGCCTCTAGTCCCCTAGCTACGTGCTAGGGGGACCCGGACAAGCCTGTCAAGAAAACCCTGTTAATTAGAACAAAATTTTTATTGCGATCCGAGAGACAGAATTGACCACGTAAAAGCACCGCAATCATAATCGTCAGTAAGAACTCACCGATTCACTGATCAGCGACCAAGACGCACCGAACGCAGACGTCCACAATGCACATCGCACATATATCGGAGTCGTGCAAAGTGACTGCTACCGAGTCCATCCATTACTACTCCATGGCAGGTATTCTACCATGCACGAAATGACAGGGCACTGATCACCACAATGGGCTTTGATGTAGAAAGTTTTTGCCAGTGACATCCTTGAGGCTGGGTTTGCCAGTGGTGCACATGCCACAAATCCTATTCGCCGAGGTGACGTATCTCCTGTGCATTCCATTGGTTCGGGTCATCTCAAAGGATGTTGCCGAGTACGAAATCTATGTCAAGCTGAAGGTCATTTTGAAGCTAGAAGAGGGGTGGAACCCCTCAGACGAGAATTTGAATGAATGATCTTTGATAGGCGAAGCATGAAACATTGTTCGGTTGTGCAAAATCGGATTAGGAGCGTTCCGGTGTGTTTGAATGAAGTGATGCAGTGCTCTGTAATTACCGTTTCTGAAATACATCGGCTCCTCAAGGTTTCCGAAAACAAGGCACATGCAGCGTAACGCAAGAACGTAATGATGGGAGCGCAATCACATCCGCGATAGATTTATTCCCACGGGGCTGTGGCAAATGTTTGTATGGGAACTGGGTGACACAAAAAACATTGCTGCAGCATCAATCCAACAAATTTCTGCACATCACAAGCATCAGTGACTTTGAGAGAGAAAGTTGTAGCTATGGCATCAAAGCCTTAGTGTCATATCCCATATGCCAGACCTAGGTCCCATAATATTCCCACACCTTCTGGGCCTATTTCCAGACCCCACCTCTGACTCATTCCCAGATCCCCTTCCATCATGTGCTCCACACCTCAGCAGGATTAGCTCTGCTATGGAATTACCCCTGACCTCTGGATTTTCACTATGAGCCTGATCCATACACCCCTATCCTGTCCACCATATGCACATTCCATCCAGCAAGACATCTGGACTTTACCTCCTCTCAGATTCTGGACTACATCCACCACCTCACATATCTCAGTCCTGTTTCCACCTTGCCTTCTGGATTCCCAGATCTCTGGATATTAACTGTTACTATCTCCAGACCTATTCCCACCCTCCATCTGAGATCCTGTGCCTATCCCCATTTAGGCATCTCCGCCTTTTGTTAAGGTCATACTCAAGGCTAAATGGATCCAAAGGGCTTCGGCCTCAGCTTGTGCACTGTGCCCCTTACTCAAGTATTGTCCCTTATTTCAGGAAGGCAAGACTAACACGTCCAGAGGGTTGGATGGGTAGCATAGCAGATCTGGATGACTTCCGGTAAAGGTTCAACAACTCTGCTAGCTTGCAGAGCAAAAGAAAGAAAGATGCCTCTACCTCTGGGGTGAGAGGAAGGCTACTGACTCTCTAAGTGTTGGTCGAAATGTGCCAAGTGATATGTTTGACCCTTAAGGGAAGCAAGGAAAGCAAGGATCGACAAAGTGACACCAGGTCAACTCTAGTGAAGCACGCATGCAGGAATGTTGAGCACATAAGAGCGTGAAGTGTGGGAATAGGGCGCACACAGTGCGTGAATGTGTGAGAACTGAAAGATGGCATGAAGACATGAAGTGGGACTGCTGAATGGACACTGATGCTGATGGCTAGGGTGACAGCTCTGATGGATGCTAACTCATGATAATTCTGACTGCTAGATGCTACTAGACATGATGGTGGTAGGTGTATGAAAACTTCCTAGGCAACAGGTAAGCTGTGCCTAGGCATGTTCCCAGGGCTTGGAAGTGAATAGGGAGCACTCTAAGTATGTAAATGATGTAAGGACAGGGTCCATGATGAAATAAAATATTGTATGATGCTAAATATGGTCTGATATGAGAATAAACAGGAAAGAACTCACTAGGGGACTGGTTGGACAATGGATGGATGCTCCCAGATGCTGCATGACATAAGGCAACCGAGCATGGGAAGAGTGCACTAAGTGTGTGCGTGGGAATGTGTCGCATAGTGCGGGAAAGCATCGCACCTCTGGTGCATTTTGCAGGAAGGTCATAGCTAGTGAGTCATACACTGTACCAATTGTTGTGTGTCAAAATATGTGCAATATACACCTAGAGGATTCTTGTTCCCTACAATGGAAATGAAGTGTAGGTAATGGATCAGTGAGCAGGATGGATATACTGATAACCAAATTACTGGAGTTAGGGGACTACTGAAAGGAGACAAGCACTGGTTGTGGATTTGGATGAGGTGTGGACTGGACTGGACAAGTGGACAGATTGAATGACAAGATGTTGGAGGGGGATAAGATGTGGATTGGATCTGAGATGAGATAAGGATCAGATCTGAGATCTGGATATGTGGATATGACACCTTTCCAGTTCTCGGTTATCTCTGTTTCTGTCTTGCTGATTGATCCTTGTACTAGTTTCATCTTTGAGTTCATTTACTTATGTTCCATCTTACTTACCAATGTATTTCCACATGCTCATACATAGCCTTACTCTGTTGCTTACTGATCCTCTTGGATATCCTCTAGTATATAACCCCTGTACAACTTCAGTAGAGTCCTCAGTCTGAATATCATCTTAGATCCTATCCTACTTGCCCAATCTTCTTCTGGATTTCAGTCCATCTGAGTTTGTCCTTTTCCATAAGGCCTAGGGATGGATTCCCTAGGCCAGAATTCCAGACCTTCAGATTTGTCCCCTATGTCTCCATCCCAAGTCTAGGGATTGCTTCCCTAGGCTGGAGTCTTGCCTTTCCAGCACTTACCCTCTCTCCAGACTTTGGTCCACTTCCTGTCCCTCTAACTCTACCTTAGGGTAGTCCACCTCTGTTTGTTTCTACATTGGACTTTGTCCAATGTAGCCCCTATTCCTTCCAGACCTCTGGATGTCCTGTCTCCTGTCCTGTGTACCTCCAGACATCCTGTCCTTCCATCCTGTTTCCTGTAGAGGTATTATCCTGGGGTCTCTTCCCTTTCTGTGCAGAGAGAACTCCTCCAGAACTCTCCTGCACTCCTCTGGATATTTCCCACACTTCTCTGGAAGTCCTCCTGCACTCTCCACCAGAGTAGCCAGCCTCCAGAAGTCCTTTGGACTTTGATGGACCATCATTGGACTTCATCTGAAATGAAGGGCACATACTCAGGTAAGGGGCACAGCATATGAGCTGAGGCCAAGCCCCTCTGAGTCAATCTCTCTCCCCCTTGAGCATGGTTCTTAACACTTAGCTGGTGTGGAAAAATGAATAATTCTTGAAAACTTCCCTGAGATGTGATGGACATTGTGAGAGTTTTCCCTCCAGCACCACCAACAGCTCAACCAGTGATAAAATTTTCACCACATTTGAAAGATACATGTCTACAAAGTAACTTTCATCAATGAGTTGCAACAATTCTGAGGTATGTAAAATTGCTGCCCTATAGCAAGTTGGAAGGTGTGCAATTGACATGCTCACAGCCACAGATGTATCAAATATGATATTGTTTGCATCAACTTGACGTGTCTTGACCACTGTCAACTTCACTACACCTCATGCACAGTGTACTTATCCATTCTGATTGTTATTCCTAACATACCATACATAATTCAAATTCTGAAATGCCCCTCTCAAAACAATTCCATTCACAAGCACAGTGAGCCCACCTCGAATGAATCAGATCTGCACAACTGAAATCACAGGAAGATAGCAAGGACACACTTTCTGATGAAGAAGTCACAGCTACCAGTTCACATTCAAGACACCTCACACAAGCAGTTGCACTCAAAGAACTTGATATCCTGCATGAAACTGTCTCAAAATATTGCACTGACCTTGAGAGCTACAAGCAGGCACTTGTCCAGCAAGATACTGAGATCTGCAATCTTTGTGATGCCCTTCAATCCACAAAATTCCAATATGTGAAGCTCTAAGACATTGTCTCACAACTCTGCAGAGAGCATGCAATCAGTCAGAAGGCTTTGGTCACTGTTGAATGAGCACTTGCAAAGGAACAGCACAAGCATGTCACTTACTACAAAGAGCTCTGTAATGAGTGGTGAAAGTCTCTATGTGCACATTCATCTGCAAGAAGACAATCAGACCAAGCCAAGGAACTTTGGAAAGTGATCATCCCAACTGCAAACACTAAAGCTGAGTCAACAATACAACAGCTTCAGGCCTGTGTTGTAATGCTTGAAGGCCATGTTATTTCCCTTGAAGCAGAATGTGCTCAGTTGTGCAACAAGCTCTCAGAGTCTCATAAAAAAACTTGCTGCTTTCAGATACAAACTCTATGTGCTAAAAAATCTATCAGATGGTCCTGTAACAAGGCTAGTGAGCTTGCATGGACATGAGAAATTTCCCCACCAACATTTTTCAAGCAATGAATGTACACTTCTTGAATTTGAAGCCTTGCACATTCTCTCATTGTTGCTGGATGCTCTCAGGGTCATGTTGGAACCCTCATTTAAGAGTTCTTTTTGCTGTTTGGTGTCTGAGTGAAGAGGATGAGCTGATGAACCATTCAATGAACTATCCTTGAGAGTGGAGTAGCTGCTAAACTTCAACTTGCCCATGAAATTGGACAGACAAAGAGTTCATACTACA